GAAATCAATAAATTGGAAAATTGGAAAATTGAACAATCGAAAAATAAAAAAAATGGAAACATTAAAAATCTAAGTAAAATATCAAAAAATTGAAGTCTCTAATATTTCAAAAAATGAAGAAATTGAAAAATCGATAAATCGAAAAGTCGAAAAATTGAGAAATCGAGAACTTGAAAAATCGAAATTGAAAACTCCAAAAATTTTTAAAATGGGAAAACTGAGAAATCGGAAATTTGAAATATTACAAAATTGAAGAATTTAAAAGTTAAAAATGTTATTGTTGAAAAATCTAAAAATTGAAATGTCAAAAAGTTGAAAAATAGAATAATTGGAACATCGAGAAATCGAAATAGTTCAGACGAAAAATTAAAAATTGAAAAATTTGAAAATTGTGAAATAGAACAATCGAAATATCCAGCAATCGAAACATCAACAAATCGGAAAATCTAAAAATTGGAAAATGAAAAACTGAAAAATCAAAAATACAAGAAATCGGGAAAATGATAAAACTGAAATTTAAAGAATTCAAGTTGAAAAGTCAAAAAATTTTAAAATCGTAAAATCGAGAAATCGAAAATCGAAAAATCAAAAAATCGAAATATGTAAAAAAAAAACCGAGAAATTGAAGAATTGAAACATCGACAAATCGAAACTTGTAAATATCGAAAAATCGCAGTAGCCCAATTGAAAAATTTAAAATCAAAAAGAAATCAGTAAATTTAAAAGTCAAAATTTTTAAAAATCGAAAAACTGAAAAATTAAAAATCTAAATTTAAAAAAAATATCAAAAATTTCAAAAATTCTAAAACCGAGAAATTTTTTCAAAGTAGTAAAACCGATAAATCGGAAATTCGAAAAATCGTAAAATTGAAGTATGTATTAAAAAGTTTAAAAATCGGGAAATCGAAATACCAAACAAAAAAAAGAAAACAAGAAATTGAAAAATTGACATTAAAAGCTTTCTCTCAAAACTGAAATGTCTGAAAAATAGATTAATTGAAAATTGAAACATCCAGAAATCCAGCGCTGACAAGATCGAAAAATCGAAGTAGCCCTATTGAAAAATTTAAAATTAAAATGAAACCAATAAATTGAAAAATTGGGAATCTGAAAAATCAAAAATCTTAAAAATAGAAAAATTTATAATCGAAAAATCCCAAAAAATAAAAACTGAAAAATCAAGAAATCGAAAAGTCGAAAAATCTCAAAATAGAGTTCGAAAAATTGAAACATGGAGAAATCGAAACCTGAAAAGATTGAAAAATCGATAAATTGAAAAAATGGGAAATTGAACAATCGAAAAATGAAAAATTTAAAATCTAAAACATCAAAAAATTGAAATTGAAAAATCGAGAAATCGAAACGTCGTAATATCGAAAAATAGAAAATTTAAAAAATCGAAATTGGAAAGTCGAAAAATTTTTAAAAACTGAGAAGTCGAAAATTCGAAAAATCGCAAAATTGGAGTATTAAAAAGTTTAAAAATCGGGAAATCGAAACAACAAAAAATCGTATTGTCGAAACATTGAAAAATCTAAAAATGTTAAATTTAAGAAATTGAAAAATTTCAGAACTGAAATGTCAGGAAGTTAAGAAATGAAATAAGTGAAGCATCGAGAAATTGAGACATGAAAAGATTGAGAATTCAAAATAGTTCAAACGAAAAATTGAAAAAATTTAAAATCTAAGAAGAAGTGATACACGAAAAATTGAAAAACCGGAAAATAGAACAATCGAAACGTCGAAATCTTGATAAATCGAAAAAACTAAAATCGAGAACTAGAAATGTCGAGCAATCCAAACCTCAAAAAAATTCGAAAAATCCAAGATGGAAAAATGAAAACATCGAAAAATGGAAGAATCGAAACATTTAAAAAATCGTAAAATCTAAAAATTGGAAAACGAAAAACTGAAAAATCAAAAATACAAGAAATCAAGAACATGATAAAACTAAAATTTAAAAAATCCAAATTGAAAAGTCGGAAATCTTTTAAAATGAGAAATCGGAAATTCGAAAAATCGTAAAATTGAAGTATTAAAAAGTTTAAAAATCGGGAAATCGAAATATCAAAAAATCGAGAAATTGAAAAACCAAAATACATATGTAAATTGTAAGAAATCGAAAAATCGAAAAAAAAAACGAGAAATTGAAAAATCGACAAATCGGAACCTGAAAATATCGAAAAATCGTAGTAGCCCAATTGAAAAATTTAAAATCAAAAAGAAATCAAAAAAACTAAATATAAATATCAAAAAAATCGAAAAACCCAAAATTTCAAAAAATGAGAAAAATGAAAAATCGAGAAATCGAAACGATTTCGAAAAATTGAAAAATTAAGAACTCGAAAATTTTTCAAAGTCGTAAAACCGATAAATCGGAAATTCGAAAAATCGTAATGTTGAGGTATTAAAAAGTTTAAAAATCGAGAAATCGAAAAACTGAAAAATAAAAGAAAACGAGAAATTGAAAAAATTGACAAGTAGAGACATTGAAAACTCTCAATACTGAAATGCCTGAAAAATAGATTCATTGAAAAATTGAAACATCGAAAAATCGAGAGCTGAAAACACCGAAAAATCGAAGTAGCCCAATTGAAAAATTTGAAATTAAAAGGAAACCAATAAATTGAAAAATTGGGAATCCGAAAAATCAAAAATTTTAAAAATAGAAAAATTGAATAATTTAAAATTGAAAAATCTCAATAAAAAAACTGAAAAGTCGAAAAACTGGAACATCGAGAAATTCAAGCCTGAAAAGATCGAAAAATCGAAGCAGTCCAGTTGAAAGATTAAAAATTTTAAAAATCGAAAAACTGAAAAATTTAAAATCGAAAAATGTCTTAAAATTTAAAAAAATAAAAAACTGAAATATCGAGTAATCGAAAAGTCGAAAAATCGAAAATTTAGAAAATCGATTTTTTTTTAAATGGTGAAACCGAGAGAGAAATCGGAAATTTGAAAAGGCGTAAAATTAAAATATTAGAAAGTTTAAAAATCGGGAAATCAAAATACCAAAAAATCGTTAAGCCGAAAAATTGACAAATCGAAAAACTGAAAAATAAAAAAAATTAGAAATTGAAAAATTGACAAGTCGAAACATTGAAAACTCCCAAAACTGAAATGTCTGAAAAGTAGACAAATTGGGAAAATCAAAAATTTTAAAAATCGAAAAATTTAAAATCAAAAAATCTCTCAAATTTCAAAGGAAGGAAAAATTAAGCCAAGAAGTGTAATTCTGAGCAGTTAAAGCAAATTACTCACTCGGTAATTTTGTGATTAGCTGTTGTTCCGAACAACAGATAAAAAAAAACAGGGAAAAACCTTGTCCTTTTTACGATATCATTATTTGTAATCGATAACCATAAAGCTCTACGGTAGAACTTTGTGCTCTGAATTACAAATAAACAAACGTAACAGTTTGCGAACTTGTCTCCTAAGAGAACTTTCGTTCATCTACAATCAATATAATAAGTGTAGGTGTACACCATATGTACCTAAGAATAATATTCATGTTAATGACCGATTCCAGTTTTCAAATACACCTACCTACAAGTTACAAAAAATTGAAATTATTAGTTATGGAATGTCTATACATTGTTGCATAAGTATAGAAAGAAAAGCTAAGCACATTCAATGAGGGCATGTTTCAACAATGGAGAATCAGTTGTCGCCCCATCTAACAAGTCTTCAACTAAATCTTCCGAAATACGAATTAAGGTGGTGAAACTTGTTCTCGTTCAGCACTTCCTCCATTTTTTATGCTCCATTGAAGTTGGCCTTCAATGTTCTGACAACTTTATTGATTCGAATAACGATTTCTAGTCTTTAATTTAATTATTTTGACTTCAATAATAATTATTAATGGCAGCTTTATTAGCATTTTACTACCTTAATTTGATTTTAGTATGTAAATTAAATATGCAATATATATTGCACAAAATTCAACTTTCAATCATACGAAGACCTCACAATTCAATTTATAACCCCTTATTCAGAAAACTGAACTTCCACGGTCCCTAGCTTGGTTAATTTAGTCGCAACTAATCGATTTTTTAGCATGAATAATCCTTGAATAACGAGCAGAGAAAAATAATCCAGTTCATGACGTGTAATTAATTCCGGTGATGCTTAACCAACTGTGATACGATTCGGTTCTGCTGTCACATAAATAAGGTGAAACATTTCGAAAAACCTCTCGACTTAACCACCGGCAACGAAAATAACCAAGTAAGTGAAACTTGATGAACCTCCGTTGCGTAAGAACGCAATCATTTCAATTACTCACTGACTCCAACAATTAAATTCGGAACAGCCGCGTTTCAACCAAATCCGGCTTTGTCGGTTTTAATGCTCGAATAATCGCGCAATCTTGTTTCTATCATTGTTGGATCTCGATTAGACAGGTAAAAAATAACTTCATGGAACCGTCCTCGCTTGGAAACTCGTCTTGTCTCCTAGCTGTTATTCTAGTTCAAGTGTACCGTGTATGTTAATTTCGTCCTGGATGTCGACCGTATTTTATTTATGAGATTATTCCTTTGATCGGGGGAAAAGAACCACCAGAGGTTTTTCTCTATGTTGGGTCGTTTAAGGACTGTTTGCGAGATTCGTATCAGTGTGAAGTGACGATTTCTGTGTGCACAAGGCGTTCAACTTTCTACTATTTACATTTAATTGTTGTGTTTATGTGATTTCTAGTTTCTTTTTTAGTTTTGCGGAGTTGTTGTGTACTTGGGGCATTTTATTAAATGAAAATTGTCGCTCATTTGTCGCGTGGTCGGTTTTTTTGTTGCGTTAACGATTAACTTTCGAAAAAAGATTGAACACAGGAACTGGCGGCTTTGGTTGGCGATGTTCGAGTTCGGCTTATCACAGCGGTAATGATATGATAACGTTCGTAACGGACTTATTTTGGTGTGTTGTTAATTTTAACTTGAAAACAACGGAACTTTCAAACGTTTTTCTCTGTTTAATTTTTTGTTTTTTTTTTTTTCTTGCAGTATCCAATGACAATATTATCACCGTACGACACGGCCAGGAAGAAAGAGCCATCGGCCACTTTCAACGCGGAGAGAGAATCATGTCTGAAGTGCTTCGAAAAATGGAGCGAAACCGACCAAGTGGAATTCGTAGAAAATTTACTAGCTAGGATGTGCCACTATCAGCACGGACATATAAATTCCTATTTAAAACCTATGCTACAACGGGATTTTATCTCTCTTTTGCCAAGTTAGTATAAACTTGTTCAACTTCTTCGTGAGTAATCCGCAGCTATCTCGTATTTGTGTGTTTACTACAACGTTAAAAAAAATCGGAGTTCTTGCAACAGTTCTTGGAAAAAGTTGTTCGGGATTGTTCGCCTCTGTTGTCCGATTGTTATCATGTTTTTACTGGGTTTGTTTACCTTCGACCAATTTTTGGATACCACAATTTTTTCTTTAATTTGAAATAATTTAATTTCAATCTTTCATTTTCAAATTCCCGATTTTTGCAATTTTTCTATTTTTAATCTTTCCATTTTTCAACTTTTCAACTTCTTGATTTCCACTTTTTAGATTTTTCAAAGTTCTCATTTTATACTTTTTGAGTTTTTCATTTTTACAATTTTGCAATTTTTCCATTTTTTTGATTCCTAAAAAATTGCAAAATCGAATTCGATTAATTTTTTGATATCACAATTTTTGGTTTTTTCGTTTTCTAAATTTGCAATTTTTCCAATTTTTAAAGTTTCGGTTTTATAAATTTTCGTTTTTGCAACTTTAATTTGTTCAATTTTTCGGTCTGCAATTTTTCCATTTTTCAGTTTCTCAATTTTTCGATTTTTCCATTTTCGGTTTCCTCAGTTTTCAAGTTTTTGATTTTTATTTGTCATTTTCCCGATTTTTGTCATTGTCATTGTCTCTATGTTATTTTTTAATTTCCTTTATTTTTTCACTGTTTCTTTCGATTTTATAATTTTTGATTTATTCGATTCTTCAAAATTTTCGATCTTTGATTTTCAAATTCCTCGATTTTTAAATTTTTCAATTTTCCAATTTTTCGATTTTACAATATTTAATTTTTTCGATTTGCAATTTTTCGATTTTTCAGATTCTTGATTTCCAGTTTTTAGATTTTTCAAAGTTCTTGTTTTATACTTTTTGGGTTTTTCATTTTTGATTTCTCATTTTTTTGATTCGAAAAGTTGAAAAATGGAAAACTGAAACATTTCAAAATCGAATTTTTCACCCCTGCTGTCCTGATTGTTATCATATTTTCACTGGATTTATTTACCTTCGATCAATTTTTTGATATCACACTTTTTCGTTTTTTCATTTTCTTTAATTTGCAATTTTTCTAATTTTTCGATTTTTCAATTTCTCAATTTTTCGTTTCCTCAGTTTTCAAGTTTTTGTTTTTTATTTGTCATTTTCCCGATTTTTTAATTGTCATTGTCTCTATTTATTTTTTTTTTGATTTTTCAATTTTTCATTTATTCAATTCTTCAAAATTTCAGTCTTTGATTTTCAAATTTTTGGATTTTGAAATTTTAAAATTTTTCAATTTTGGAATTTTTGGATTTTTCAACTATTCCATTTGATTCCATCTAATTTTCAATATTTCGATTTTACAATATTTAATTTTTTCGATTTTTAAGTTCTTGATTTCCAGTTTCTAAATTTTTCAAAGTTTTCATTTTATACTTTTTTTTTGCAATTTTTCCATTTTTTGATTCGAAAAGTTGAAAAATGGAAAACTGAAAAAACGGAAAATCGCAAATCGAAGAACTGGGGAAACGGAAAATCGAAACATTGAAAAACTAAAAATCCAGTAACTGAAAAATCGAAAAAAGAAACGAATCGAATCGAAAAATTGGAAAACTCAAAAATTATAGACTCGTCAAAATTGTAAAGTCGAAAAATAGTAACACTGAAAGATCGAAAATGGAAAAATCGAATAAATGAAAAATCTCACTTTTTAATTTTACGATTTTAGAATTTTTCCATTCTCCAATTTTAAAACTTTTTCATCATATACATGTATATACATATATGTAGGTGTCACACTTATATAAAATGACAACAAAAAAAAATCAAAAATTGAAAAACCCAAAAAATTGAAAAAATTTGAAAACTAAAAATCAACATGAAAAATTACAAATCGAAAAATTGAAAAATTAAAAATGAAAACTCGAGAAATTTTATCTTAAAAATCTGTAAAATCTGAAAATTGAAGAAAAAAAAAAGGAAAATCGCAATTCGAATAATTGAAGAAACGAAAACTTCAGAAATTATTTTTCAATTTGTCAGGTTTTTGATTAATAATTTTTTTTAGTTTTCAATTTTTCGACCCTTCGATTTCTTGTTTTTTTAATTTCTCAGTTTTTCGATTTTTCTACTTCACAATTTTTTGACATTTCGATTTCTCGGTTTTACTATTTAATTTTTTTTCCAATTTTCAATTTCAATTCTTTCAATTTTAGATTTTTAATTTTCTTGATTTCCCGTATTCTTGATTTTTCAATTTTCTAATTTTTAGATTTTATGATTTATTGTTTCGATTCCTCGATTTTTCAAATTTTCGGGTCCTCAGTTTTTCAATTTTTCGACTTCTCGGTTTTAGATTTTTGAATTTACAAAGATTTCGAAGTTTTGATTGTTCGATTAACCGGTTTTCCAATTTTTCATTTATCGATTTTTTTTAATAAAAATTTTTCGAGTTTTTGACATTTCGGTCTTGCGATTTTTCAATTTTTCGATTTTATAAATTTTAGCTTTTTCGATTTCTCGTTTTTTCAATTTTTCGATATTACGTTTTTTTGATGTTTCAATTTCACGATTTTTCAATTTTTCCATTTCTAAATTTTTCAATATTTCGATTGCTCAATCTTCCGATTTTTCGACTTTCGAATTTGCAATTTTTCCAGTTTTTTTTTTTTTATTCAAAAAGTTGAAAAATGAAACTGAAACGAAAAAACGAAACATTGAAAAAGTAAAAATCGGGAAACTAAAAAATCAAAAAAGAAAGGAATCGAATCGAAAAATTGGAAAACTCAAAAATTGTAAAATCGAAAAATTATAGAATCGTCAAAATTGTAAAGTCGAAAAGCAGTAACATTGGAAGATCGAAAAATTGAAAAATCGAATAAATGAAAAAGTTTTAAAATCCTGTAATTGAAGAATGGAAAAATTCTAAAATCGTAAAATTGAAAAGTGATTTTTTTAAAAAATTATGATAATTATCAAATATATAATACGTATATAAAGTGACAACTTTAGAAATTGAAAAATCGAGACATTAAAGAATGTAAAATTGAAAAATCCAACAATCAAAAACCGAATCGAAAAATTCAAAAATCCAAAAATTTAAAAATTTCGCATTGAAAAAAATTTGTAAAAGCAAAATATTGAAAAACCCAAAAAATTGAAAAAATATGAAAACAAAAAACTGAAACATTGAAAAATTAAAAATTGAAAACTGAGAAATTTTAACTCAAAAAAACTATAAAATCTGAAAATTGAAGGAACAAAAAAATGAAAAATCGCAAATCGAAAAATTGAAGAAACGAAAACTTCAAAAAATTTTAATGTTTGTGATTATTAATTATTTTTTCGACTTTTCGCTTTCTCGATTTTTCAATTTATCGATATTTAAAATCTTTCAGTTCTTCGATTTTTAACAATTTTGATTCTATTTTTCAGACATTCAGTTTTGGATTTTTCAATTTCTCTATTTGTCATTTTTTCCATTTCTTGTTGTTTGATTTTTCAGTTTTATTATTTAAATTTTTTTCCATTTTTCAATTTCGATTCTTTAAGTTTTAGATTTTTTATTTTCTCGATTTCTTGTATTCTTGTTTTTTCACTTTTTCAATATTTTAGTTTTCGGAATTTTGCAATTTTTTGATGTTTCGATTGTTCGATCTCTCAATTTTTCGACTTCTCGGTTTTAGATTATTCAATTTATAAAGATTTCGATGTTTTGATTGTTAGATTAACCGGTTTTCCAATTTTTCATTTATCGATTTTTTCGAATCAAAATTTTTTAATTTTTCAATTGTTCGATTTTTGACATTTCAGTCTTGGGATTTTTGAATTTTTCGTTTTTATAAATCTTAGATTTTTCGATTTCTCGATATTACGATTTTTTGATGTTTCAATTTCACGATTTTTCAATTTTTCTTTTTCTAAATTTTTCAATATTTCAGTTTTGAGAATTTTTCGATTTTGCGATTTTTCCATTTTTTTTTTGTTCAAAAAGTTGAAAAATGGAAAACTGAAAAAACGAAAAATCCAAAAATCGCAAATCGAAGAACTGAAGAAACGAAAACTCGAAACATGGAAAAACTAAAAATCGAGAAACTAAAAAATCAAAAAAGAAACGAATCGAATCGAAAAATTGGAAAATCGAAAAATTACAGACTGGTCAAAATTGTTTAAAGTCGGTAACATTAAAAGATGGAAAAATTGAAAAATGAAAAATTTTAAAAACTATATTAACAATTATTAGATACAACTAGAAAAATTGCAAATCAGAAGTTGAAGAAACGAAAAATACGAAAATCGAGACAGTGAAAAATTTTAAATTGAAAAAACGAAAAATTAAAAAATGAAGAATTGAAAAATTCAAAAACTGCAAAATTTCTCATTAAAAAAACCCAAAAAATGAAAAAAAGAAATAAAAAAAACCTAAAGAAAAATTGCAAATCTAAAAATTAAAACATCTAAAAGTTGGAAAATCGAAAAAATTAAAAGTTTAAAACTGAGAACTCGAAAAGATGCATATCCTAAAATTGAAGAAACAAAAAAAAATGTAAAATTGGAAAATTGCAAATCGAAAAATTGAAGCAACGAAAAATTTAAAAAACAGTAATTGAAAAATCGAAAAATTGTAAAAAAAAATAAAAAAACTGAAAAATCAAGAAATCGAAAAGTCGAAAAATCTCAAAAAATTGAAATATGGAGAAATCGAAACCTGAAAAGATTGAAAGATCGAAGTAGCAGAATTGAAAAATCAATAAATTGAAGAAATGGGAAATTGAACAATCGAAAAATGAAAAATTTTAAATCTGAATTTAAAATATTAAAAAATTGAAATTGAAAAATCGAGAAATCGAAACGTCATAATATCGAAAAATAGAAAATTTAAAAAATCGAAATTGGAAAGTCAAAAAATTAAAAAAAACTGAGAAGTTGAAAATTCGAAAAATCGTAAAATTGAAGTATTAAAAAGTTTAAAAATCGGGAAATTGAAATATCAAAAATTCGTGAAGTCGAAAAATTAAAAAATCGATAAACTGAAAAATAAAAAAACGAGAAATTGAAAAATTGACAAGTAGAGACATTGAAAACTCCCAAAGCCGAAATCTCTGTAAAATAGATTAATTGAAAAATCGAGAAATCGAAACCTGAAAAGAGCGAAAAATCCAAGTAGCCCATTTGAAAAATTAAAAATTTTAAAAATCGAAAAACTGAATAATTTAAAATCGAAAAATTTCTTAAATTTCAAAAAATAAAAAAACTGAAAAGTCGAAAAACTAAAAAATCGAAATTGAAAAGTCGAAATGGTAAAACCGGGGAAGAAGTCGGAAATTTGAAAAGTTGTAAAATTAAAATATTAAAAAGTTTAAATTCGTGAGGTCGAGAAATAAAAAAATCGAAAAACTGAATAATAAAAAAAATGAGAAATTGAAAAATTGACAAGTAGACATTGAAATCTCCCAAAACTGAAATGCCTGAAAAGTAGATTAATTGAAAAATTGAAACATGGAGAATTCGAAAAATCGAAGTGGTCCAATTCAAAAATTTAAAGTTAAAAAGAAACAGATTAATTGAAAAATTGGAAAATCAAAAATTTTAAAAATCGAAAAACTGAAAAATCCAACATCGAAAAATCTCTCAAATTTCAAAAAACGACACTGAAAAATCGAGATGCCGAGATATCGATAAATCGAAAATTTAAAAAATCAAAAATTTAATAATAAATCGAAGTAACAAGTGGGGATGGTCAGACAAATTTTGTTTTACATACATACAAAGTTTGACAACAGTCGGTCCGGTAATTTCCGGTATTATTATCTGGTTAATAAAAATCGACACAGACAGCGGAAACGAAACCTATTTTTTCGTACTCAAAGGGGCATGAAACGTCAAGAAATCATGAAAGTAGTAGTCCGACTCGAAGAAGTTAAATTTTAAAAGATAAAGTAAGAAAAAATTAAGCCATGAAGTGTAATTCTGAGCAGTTAAAGCAAATTACTCACTCGGTAATTTTGTGATTAGCTGTTGTTCCGAACAACAGATAAAAAAAAACAGGGAAAAACCTTGTCCTTTTTACGATATTGAAAAATTCAAAAACTGCAAAATTTCTCATTAAAAAAACCCCAAAAAATGAAAAAAAAGAAATAAAAAAAACCTAAAGAAAAAATTGCAAATCTAAAAATTAAAACATCTAAAAGTTGGAAAATCGAAAAAATTAAAAGTTTAAAACTGAGAACTCGAAAAGATGCATATCCTAAAATTGAAGAAACAAAAAAAAAATGTAAAATTGGAAAATTGGAAAATTGCAAATCGAAAAATTGAAGAAACGAAAAATTTAAAAAACAGTAATTGAAAAATCGAAAAATTGTAAAAAAAAAATAAAAAAAAAAGATAACGAATTGAAAGATTGAAGAAACAAAAACTTCTCAACAAATTAAAATTGAACAAAAAAAAATTATAAAATCGAAACATTGAAAAATTAAAAATTGAAAAACAATGTTTTACCAGTATTTGGACAGTGAAAGTGTCGTATGCAACACAAAAATTAATTTTATTAACGCGTTGAATACTTGCCAACTTGCCCTGTTGTAAAATAAAAGGTGAACTAGTAACGAAGTCACTAATCAGTTTATTACAATTTTAATGTGAATAAAGTCGATAATTAAGGACAACACCGGCAGAACTATTTCCAGAACGCAAATATGAATACTACCGAGAGTTCGGAATGTACGGAAATTGCGTGGCTTTGACCTAGTGTGACGTCACCTTATGGAAGAAAAGAATTCCGTATCTCCTTGAACAAATAGCAGCAATTGAGGTGGAACAAACTTTTTTATTCTCAAAAATGTCACGAACTTCCGCTTATTATTTCACAATCGAGGCATTCTCTTTACCGATTTTGTTTTGTACAAGTTTTACCATTCGCCTAATTAATTACAGTCGCATTTTTAACTCGTACAATTCCATTTGTAATAAAACATTACTGTCGCAATTCTAATTCAAAAGAACAAAAAAAAAGAGAGTGAAATGAAGTTGCACACTCGAATGACCGCTCCGTCGTAAGTAAAGGTGCAGTTTTCAAGCTTCATACTTTCTAGTTTTAATTAAATTTAATTATAAATCGCGCAATTCGGAAAGCGAGAGTAAAATTTCGATGAACTTTCAGAGCAAGGGCTGGACCATGTTGCCGAAAATATTTTATCATATTTGGACGCTGATAGTCTACGAAATGCCGAACTGGTGTGCAAGGAGTGGTTCAGGGTGATATCGGAAGGCATGCTGTGGAAGAAACTCATAGAAAGGAAGGTCCGTACAGACTCGTTGTGGAGAGGTTTAGCTGAACGAAGGCAGTGGTATGTACACGATTTGTTTTTGATTTAAATTAAGTTTTTGTTTTCGATTCCAGGATCCAGCACCTGTTCAAGCCGAGACCCGGCGAAAACCACCGCCCTCATTCGTTCTATCGCGCCCTGTTCCCGAAAATAATCCGCGACATCGAGAGCATAGAGAGCAACTGGAGGCACGGAAGGCACATTTTGCAGCGAATCAACTGTCGATCTGAGAACAGCAAAGGGGTGTATTGCCTGCAGTACGACGACCAGAAGATCGTGTCAGGTCTCAGGGACAATACGATAAAAATATGGGACAGAAGTACATTGCAGTGCACTAAAGTTCTAATAGGACACACGGGATCGGTTCTGTGTTTACAGTACGATGATAAAGTTATTATTAGTGGTTCTAGTGATTCGACTGTGCGCGTTTGGAACGTTAATACGGGAGAAATGGTCAACACACTCATCCATCATTGCGAAGCCGTCCTACACCTTAGGTTCAACAATGGAATGATGGTCACTTGTTCAAAAGTAAGTCGTGGATGGGTTCAGTTCTTGACCTAGATGTCCAAAGATCTAACCAAGTGAAGACACCGTTAGTTTCAAAAGTTGGCTTTTAGGCGATCCTTGAAGTGTACAGTTAGTCAAAAGAAAACAATAGTCACGGTGTAATTCACACTTAGGGGATTTGCATAGATCGATGATAGGGTTCTCACTATTGTCAAGTAACTGTCGTGGTTTTTTCTTCGTCCGAGATGGATTGTTTTATCAATATGGGTAAAGGACAAGTATTTTGGGACTTAAGTCGTTTAATTTGTATTTGATCACACTTAACGTCACTCTAGCGATTAATTAATGTTGATAAGTGAATATGATTCGTCATCACGTGTGTACGGAATAAAACATAGTTGATCTACTTTGAACTGACCTGGGTAAATTTTAAAGTCGTCTCTCGGTTATTTTTTCTGTAACAACGATCAAGTAATTAAAACTTAAATTAGTCACGTAGGCTCGAATTGTGGACTTTGTGTACAATTAATGACCACTTTTGACCCGATAAAACTTCATACATAAAATTTCTTTACCTACTTAAAACAGAAAGTGATAGTTTATGTTACAAAATTTGTACAATAAAAGGCGAATCTGGAAGTTAATTGTGCAGTTTCCTATTAGAGCATCACATTGGAAAGTAATTAAATATTTTCAACATAAACCGGAATATTTTAACGTATTAATTTTTTAAAATATCGGTAGTAGTTTTCACTTTTACACAAAACCGCTAGAATAATAAAAAAATGAAAATCTCGGCCTCAGTTTGTACGTAAGTGGCACTTTCTTTTAGGACCGATCGATAGCCGTGTGGGACATGACATCGCAGACGGAGATAACCCTGCGGAGAGTCTTGGTTGGGCACAGGGCCGCCGTGAACGTGGTGGATTTTGACGAGAAATACATAGTTTCAGCATCAGGTGATCGAACTATAAAAGTGTGGAACACTTCGACGTGTGAATTTGTGAAAACGTTGAACGGACATAAACGGGGCATAGCCTGCCTGCAATATAGAGATAGATTAGTAGTTAGCGGAAGTTCAGACAATACCATAAGGTAGGAATGGTCGCCTTTGGCAGTAACAGCTTTAGGGAACGGTCGATTTTCAGATTATGGGATATCGAGTGCGGTTCTTGCCTGCGGGTCCTCGAAGGACACGAAGAGTTGGTGCGCTGCATTCGTTTCGACTCGAAACGGATCGTCAGCGGGGCGTACGACGGAAAAATCAAAGTTTGGGATCTCGTCGCGGCTCTCGATCCGAGGGCGCCGGCCAGTGCTTTGTGTCTTCGAACATTGGTAGTAAGTTCATAATTCAGTCATAAATTCATTTGCTGTCATAACGCAGAGTTTAAATTCATTGTCACCATTCTAACGATTAACGGGGAAGATGTGAGCGGATCTTTAACCATGTTTCTAACTTGAGTTCAGGTAATGTTTTTGATGTCTAACGACTAATACATGCATTTCGTTCATGTCATAGTAACAGTAACGTGATGAGTTTTACACGCTTTTTACAATTAGGATTTGATGTATGTTTGTAAATATTGTAACACACTTTTTTCAAATTCATTCATTTTTGCTTGCTGTACACGCGCTTTCCATTTTGACGATACTTTTGTTAAGGATTCTTTCATTCCCTCAAAATCTTTAATTTGTTATCTGCTTTCTGAACTTGAATGAATTTTATTTAATTTTTACGTATTTCCAAAAGTCTTTGTTATAATTTTAATATGGATTTGCCTAAAAATATTAATGACTATAACAACTTTGATTAGAAATATGTAAATTTTGAAAAACGGAGTCTGAGAAGTGTGCTTCTCAAATTTTATTTTGTAATTCGATTATTTGTTGAATTTTTTTTTCCGTAATACTTATCACTTATCAAGTAAGTAAAATTCTGGCAAATGAATATTTAGTACGTTTTAAAATGGAAAAAACAAAGTTTTTGTAGTGCTTTTTTATCACTAAGGTTGTTCATGAGGAACGAATTTTAAAAGTTTCGTTTTTGTCTTTATCGCAATTTTACTGACAGAGTAACCATGCCAATCACCTTTCATTAAAAGGAGTGAGTATACAGGATTATGATAAAGTAATGCACACAATTCATAAAAAGCGCGCCATTTGTTTTTGAAACAAATGTCTCCATCTTTTGACATGTCAAAAAATTGTACGATAAATTTGTAAAAGTTAAAAAAAAAATGGAGAAAATTATTAACAAACGAAAAAAACACGATACCCAAAAAGATGTTTTAGTTTCTCGTAGAGAAATAAGGATTTTGGAGTTAAGCTCCGCCTTCGTGGCACACGCCGAATAAAAAAATCATCACAATTGAACATGTTTAAAATGTATAGGGAAATATCGATTTTACAATTAGGCTCCGCCTCTCGGTCTGACAACAAATGAAAAATTCATCACGATTCTTCTCTTTTGTTTTTCTTTGTATAACACGATTACTAAGAACATATTTCACATGGTAATTTCTCGTAGAAAAATAGGATTTTACAATTAAGCTCCGCCCCTCAGGTTACGACGAATAAAAAAAATTATCAGAATTGAATCAGGGCGGGCGGGCGGGGCTTATATTTTTCCTTTTTTTTCTTAATATACATAGCCATCTTTTCACAATAAAAAACTTAAGGCATGATTAAAATGGTACATTTTGCAAGGAAATATGGACTTGAAAGTTAGTTAAGTTAAGTTTCATGTTGTGAAAAAAAATTCTACACATATTAAAACAACGAGGCAAAATGTAAGCCCGCCCACCCTCCCTATCTCGATTGTGATGATTCTTGGAAATTTAAAACAGGCTTAAAATGGTAAATTTGGTAAGGAAATATGGATTTTGCAATTAGGTTCCGCCCCTAGGTGTGCCAACGAATGAAAACTTCATTACGATTCAGATCAGGGCAAGTATTGGTGGGACTTAATCTTTGACTTTAATTTTTCTTAATATACATGGTATTTTTTTAATAACACGTTACTCAAAAAGATGTTTTTAATGTCTCGTAGAGAAATAAATATTTTGCAGTTAAGCTCCGCCCCTAGGCTTACGACGAATAAAAAAATCATCTGAATTGACACAGGGCGGGTGGGCGGGGCTTATATTTTGCCTTTGTTTCTTAATATACACAGCCATCTTTTCACAACAAAAAACATAGAACATGGTTAAAATGGTACATTTTTGTAGGGAAATATGGATTTTGCAATTATGGGGTGGAGCTTATTAAAATATTATTATATTTTCTTATCCAAATGTACCATTTTAAACATATTTTAAGTTTCATCTTGTGAAAATTTAGGGTCCATCGGACAAATGGTCACTTTTATATTTTCTCGACGTTTCATGAGCCCTACGATACGAAAAAAGTAGTCTCCCTGTCTGGTGTCTGTATCCATTTTTATTAGGCACGTAATCTCTGAAACTGCTGGACCGATTGTTGTCAAATTTTGTATAAACATATATTAGAAATGTTATGTAGATGGTTAGTTGCTGACCAAAATTTTGCTAATCATTCCCATAAAAAAGGTGAAACCTCCTCGAGGGCCGCAACTGTATTTTTTTAAACAATGCGAAACCTTCTCCATCTGTTTTTTTAATAATGTGACACTTTGGGGTTCCCAAGTGTACTTTTTTTTTGTTAACGTAGGTGCAACCTTCTCGGGGGTCCCAAGTGTCTTTTTTTTTTAGTTGAAACCTTTTCAGGGACCCCAACTAATTTTTTTTTTTCAATAATGCGAAACTTCTGGGTTCCCAAGTAAGTGTCTTTTTTTTTAAGTTGAAACCTTCTCGGGGACCCCCGACTGTTTTTAAACCTTCTAGGGGTACCCAACTGTCTTTTTAAGAAGTTGAAACCTTCTCGGGGGCCCCAAGTGTATCTTTTTAAGAAGTTGAAACCTTCTCGGGGGCCCTAAGTGTCTTTTTTAAGAAGTTGAAACCTTCACGGGCGCCCCAAGTTTCTTTTTTTTTTAAAGAAAGTGAAACCATCTCGGGGGGCCCAAGTGTCCTTTTTTAAGAAGTTGAAACCTTCTAGGGGTACCCAACTGTCTTTTTTTAAAAAAGTTGAAACCTCAGGCGCCTCAAGTGTCTTTTTTAAGAAGTTGAAACCTTCTCGGGGGCCCCAAGTGTCTTTTTTTAAGAAGTTAAAACCTCAGGCGCCCCAAGTGTCTTTTTTTAAGAAGTTGAAACCTTCCCGGGGGCCCTAAGTGTCTTTTTTAAGAAGTTGAAACCTTCTCGGGGACCCCCGACTGTTTTTAAACCTTCTAGGGGTACCCAACTGTCTTTAAGAAGTTGAAACCTTCTCGGGGGCCCCAAGTGTATCTTTTTAAGAAGTTGAAACCTTCTCGGGGGCCCCAAGTGTCTTTTTTAAGAAGTTGAAACCTTCACGGGCGCCCCAAGTTTCTTTTTTTTTTAAAGAAAGTGAAACTATCTCGGGGGGCCCAAGTGTCCTTTTTTAAGAAGTTGAAACCTTCTAGGGGTACCCAACTGTCTTTTTTTAAGAAGTTGAAACCTTCTCGGGGGCCCCAAGTGTATTTTTTTAAGAAGTTGAAACCTTCTCGGGGGCCCCAAGTGTCTTTTTTAAGAAGTTAAAACCTCAGGCGCCCCAAGTGTCTTTTTTTAAGAAGTTGAAACCTTCCCGGGGGCCCTAAGTGTCTTTTTTAAGAAGTTGAAACCTTCTCGGGGACCCCCGACTGTTTTTAAACCTTCTAGGGGTACCCAACTGTCTTTAAGAAGTTGAAACCTTCTCGGGGGCCCCAAGTGTATCTTTTTAAGAAGTTGAAACCTTCTCGGGGGCCCCAAGTGTCTTTTTTAAGAAGTTGAAACCTTCACGGGCGCCCCAAGTTTCTTTTTTTTTTAAAGAAAGTGAAACTATCTCGGGGGGCCCAAGTGTCCTTTTTTAAGAAGTTGAAACCTTCTAGGGGTACCCAACTGTCTTTTTTTAAGAAGTTGAAACCTTCTCGGGGGCCCCAAGTGTATTTTTTTAAGAAGTTGAAACCTTCTCGGGGGCCCCAAGTGTCTTTTTTAAGAAGTTAAAACCTCAGGCGCCCCAAGTGTCTTTTTTTAAGAAGTTGAAACCTTCCCGGGGGCCCTAAGTGTCTTTTTTAAGAAGTTGAAACCTTCTCGGGGGGCCCAATTGTCTTCTTTTTTTTTAAAGAAAGTGAAATCATCTCGGGGGCCCCGGCCCCAAGTGTCTTTTTTTAAGAAGTTGAAACCTTCTCGGGGGCCCTAAGTGTCTTTTTTAAGAGGTTGAAACATTCTCGGGGGCCCCAAGTGTCTTTTTTTTTAAGATGTTGAAACCTTCCCAGGCGCCCCAAGTGTCTTCGTTTTTTTTAAAGAAAGTGAAACCATCTTGGGGGCCCCGGGCCCAAGTATCTTTTTTTGAGAAGTTGAAACTTTCTCGAGGTTGCCAAGTATCTATTTTTTTAACCTTCTTGGGAGCCCCAAGTGTCTTTTTTTAAGAAGTTGAAACCTTCTCGGAGGCCCCATCTGTCTTTTTTTTTTAAAGAAAGTGAAAGCATCTCGGGGGGCCAAGTGTCCTTTTTTAAGAAGTTGAAACCTTCTCGGGGGCCCCAAGTGTCTTTTTAAGAAGTTAAAACCTTCTCAGGCGCCCCAAGTGTATTTTTTTAAGAAGTTGAAACCTTCTCGGGGGCCCCAAGTGTCTTTTTTAAGAAGTTGAAACCTTCACGGGCGCCCCAAGTGTCTTTTTTTTTAAAGAAAGTGAAACCATCTCGGGGGGCCCAAGTCTCCTTTTTTAAGAAGTTGAAACCTTCTCGGGGGCCCCAAGTGTCTTTTTTTAAGAAGTTAAAACCTCAGGCGCCCCAAGTGTTTTTTTTTAAGAAGTTGAAACCTTCTCGGGGGCCCTAAGTGTCTTTTTTAAGAAGTTGAAACCTTCTCGGGGGGCCCAAGTGTCTTCTTTTTTTTTAAAGAAAGTGAAATCATCTCGGGAGGCTCGGCCCCAAGTGTCTTTTTTTAAGAAGTTGTAACCTTCTCGGGGGCCCCAAGTGTCTTTTTTTAAGAAGTTAAAACCTCAGGCGCCCCAAGTGTCTTTTTTTAAGAAGTTGAAACCTTCCCGGGGGCCCTAAGTGTCTTTTTTAAGAAGTTGAAACTTTCTCGGGGGGCCCAAGTGTCTTCTTTTTTTTTAAAGAAAGTGAAATCATCTCGGGGGCCCCGGCCCCAAGTGTCTTTTTTAAGAAGTTGAAACCTTCTCGGGGGCCCCAAGTGTCTTTTTTTAAGAAGTTAAAACCTCAGGCGCCCCAAGTGTCTTTTTTTAAGAAGTTGAAACCTTCCCGGGGGCCCTAAGTGTCTTTTTTAAGAAGTTGAAACTTTCTCGGGGGGCCCAAGTGTCTTCTTTTTTTTTAAAGAAAGTGAAATCATCTCGGGGGCCCCGGCCCCAAGTGTCTTTTTTAAGAAGTTGAAACCTTCTCGGGGGCCCCAAGTGTCTTTTTAAGAAGTTGAAACCTTCCCTGGCGCTCCAAGTGTCTTCTTTTTTTTAAAAGAAAGTGAAACCATCTTGGGGGCCCCGGGCTCAAGTATCTTTTTTTGAGAAGTTGAAACTTTCTCGAGGTTGCCAAGTATCTATTTTTTTAACCTTCTTGGGAGCCCCAAGTGTCTTTTTTTAAGAAGTTGAAACCTTCTCGGAGGCCCCATCTGTCTTTTTTTTTTTAAAGAAAGTGAAAGCATCTCGGGGGGGCAAGTGTCCTTTTTTAAGAAGTTGAAACCTTCTCGGGGGCCCCAAGTGTCTTTTTAAGAAGTTAAAACCTTCTCAGGCGCCCCAAGTGTATTTTTTTAAGAAGTTGAAACCTTCTCGGGGGCCCCAAGTGTCTTTTTTAAGACGTTGAAACCTTCACGGGCGCCCCAAGTGTCTTTTTTTTTAAAGAAAGTGAAACCATCTCGGGGGGCCCAAGTGTCCTTTTTTAAGAAGTTGAAACCTTCTCGGGGGCCCCAAGTGTCTTTTTTTAAGAAGTTAAAACCTCAGGCGCCCCAAGTGTCTTTTTATAAGAAGTTGAAACCTTCTCGGGGTTCCTAAGTGTCTTTTTTAAGAAGTTGAAACCTTCTCGGGGGGCCCAAGTGTCTTCTTTTTTTTTAAAGAAAGTGAAATCATCTCGGGAGGCTCGGCCCCAAGTGTCTTTTTTTAAGAAGTTGTAACCTTCTCGGGGGCCCCAAGTGTCTTTTTTTAAGAAGTTAAAACCTCAGGCGCCCCAAGTGTCTTTTTTTAAGAAGTTGAAACCTTCCCGGGGGCCCTAAGTGTCTTTTTTAAGAAGTTGAAACTTTCTCGGGGGGCCCAAGTGTCTTCTTTTTTTTTTTAAGAAAGTGAAATCATCTCGGGGGCCCCGGCCCCAAGTGTCTTTTTTTAAGAAGTTGAAACCTTCTCGGGGGCCCTAAGTGTCTTTTTTAAGAAGTTGAAACATTCTCGGGGGCCCCAAGTGTCTTTTTTTAAAGAAAGTGAAACCATCTTGGGGGCCCCGGGCCCAAGTATCTTTTTTTGAGAAGTTGAAACCATCTCGAGGTTGCCAAGTATCTATTTTTTTAACCTTCTTGGGAGCCCCAAGTGTCTTTTTTTAAGAAGTTGAAACCTTCTCGGAGGCCCCATCTGTCTTTTTTTTTTAAAGAAAGTGAAACCATCTCGGGGGGCCCAAGTGTCCTTTTTTAAGAAGTTGAAACCTTCTCGGGAGCCCCAAGTGTCTTTTTAAGAAGTTAAAACCTTCTCAGGCGCCCAAAGTGTCTTTTTTTAAGAAGTTGAAACCTTCTCGGGGGCCCTAAGTGTCTTTTTTAAGAAGTTGAAACCTTCTCGGGGGGCCCAAGGGTCTTCTTTTTTTTTTAAAGAAAGTGAAATCATCTCGGGAGGCTCGGCCCCAAGTGTCTTTTTTTAAGAAGTTGTAACCTTCTCGGGGGCCCCAAGTGTCTTTTTTTAAGAAGTTAAAACCTCAGGCGCCCCAAGTGTCTTTTTTTAAGAAGTTGAAACCTTCTCGGGGGCCCTAAGTGTCTTTTTTAAGAAGTTGAAACTTTCTCGGGGGGCCCAAGTGTCTTCTTTTTTTTAAAGAAAGTGATATCATCTCGGGGGCCTCGGCCCCAAGTGTCTTTTTTTAAGAAGTTGTAACCTTCTCGGGGGCCCCAAGTGTCTTTTTTAAGAAGTTAAAACCTTCTCAGGCGCCCCAAGTGTATTTTTTTAAGAAGTTGAAACCTTCTCGGGGGCCCCAAGTGTCTTTTTAAGAAGTTGAAACCTTCCCTGGCGCTCCAAGTGTCTTCTTTTTTTTAAAAGAAAGTGAAACCATCTTGGGGGCCCCGGGCTCAAGTATCTTTTTTTGAGAAGTTGAAACTTTCTCGAGGTTGCCAAGTATCTATTTTTTTAACCTTCTTGGGAGCCCCAAGTGTCTTTTTTTAAGAAGTTGAAACCTTCTCGGAGGCCCCATCTGTCTTTTTTTTTTTAAAGAAAGTGAAACCATCTCGGGGGGGGCAAGTGTCCTTTTTTAAGAAGTTGAAACCTTCTCGGGGCCCCCAAGTGTCTTTTTAAGAAGTTAAACCCTTCTCAGGCGCCCCAAGTGTCTTTTTTTAAGAAGTTGAAACTTTCTCGGGGGGCGCAAGTGTCTTCTTTTTTTTTAAAGAAAGTGATATCATCTCGGGGGCCTCGGCCCCAAGTGTCTTTTTTTAAGAAGTTGTAACCTTCTCGGGGGCCCCAAGTGTCTTTTTTAAGAAGTTAAAACCTTCTCAGGCGCCCCAAGTGTATTTTTTTAAGAAGTTGAAACCTTCTCGGGGGCTCTAAGTGTCTTTTTTAAGAAGTTGAAACCTTCTTGGTGGCCCCAAGTGTCTTTTGAAGAAGTTGAAACCTTCCCTGGCGCTCCAAGTGTCTTCTTTTTTTTAAAAGAAAGTGAAACCATCTTGGGGGCCCCGGGCTCAAGTATCTTTTTTTGAGAAGTTGAAACTTTCTCGAGGTTCCCAAGTATCTATTTTTTTAACCTTCTTGGGAGCCCCAAGTGTCTTTTTTTAAGAAGTTGAAACCTTCTCGGGGGCCCAATCTGTCTTTTTTTTTAGAAAATGAAACTTTCTCGGGGTTTCTAAGTGTAAATTATTTTTAGAGAAGGTGAAACCTTGTCGGGGGTCCCAAGTGTCTTTTTTTTTATGAAATTGAAACCTTGTCAGGGACCCCAACTGTTTTTTTTTTTAATAATGTGAAACCTTCTCGGGGGGGCCAAGTGTCTTTTTTTAAGAAGTTGAAACCTCGGGGCCCCCATCTGTCTTTTTTTTTTAGAAAATGAAACTTTCTGGGGGTTTCTAAGTGTAAATTATTTTTAAAGAAGGTGAAACCTTGTCGGGGGTCCCAAGTGTCTTTTTTTATGAAATTGAAACCTTGTCAGGGACCCCAACTGTTTTTTTTTTTTTTTTTTTTTTTTTTTTTTTTTTTTTTTTTTTTTTTTTAATAATGTGAAACCTCGGGGTTCCCAACCGTCTTCTTTTAAAGAAGGTGAAACTTTCTCGGGGGGCCCAAGTGGCTTTTTTTTAAGAAGTTGAAACCTTCTCGGTGGCCCAACACTTTTTTTTAAAGATGAAACTTTTTTCTTACACTGTGACTAGTACTTTCTATATTATTTTTACTCCATAGAGGTTATCACAAAAAAGTAAAATTTCACAAAATCAAATTTCATCATTTTTCAAAGAAACATATTTGTTGGACCGTAGTTCAAGGGCGAGGGAAGTTCTGTTTAATAACGTTCGACCAATTTTTCATGTGCAGAAAATAACTTTTATATAAATGTTGTGCATTACTTTATCAAAATCCTGTATAACGGAAAAAAATATTGGTGGTTTTCTGTTTTATTTAATAATAATAAAATAAAATAGAGAATATTAGTTTATTTTATAGTTTAATTAAACATGGGATGAAATAAATAATTTTTCTTTCCAGGAACATACTGGTAGAGTGTTTAGGTTGCAATTTGACGAATTTCAAATAGTGAGTAGTTCACACGATGATACAATCTTGATTTGGAACTTCCTCAACTCAATCACTGATCGAAGTGCGAAGTCGCCTTCACCATCACGTAAGTGTCGTCGATCCTGCGATTGATCATTCTAACGATCGTTATTTTTCAGCTTTTGAATAGAACTTTCAGAAGTCCACTTCATTTTCAACGTGTTTATACAGAATCAAGAGGGCAAGTGCTCGCGTCCTCCAGACGCATAACTGACTAGAGATACGAAAATTATTTGTAACGATTACTGTGCATAATGTTAAACTTAAATTTGATATATTTATCCTTAATTTATAATAATGAAAGGACGGTTTGGCTAGTTGAAATTCCTTTAAATGTATTTTCGTCTTTTCATGTATTGAATTTCGCTGTTGTTTCTCGAACCGAATTAAAACGTCATGTCGTACATGTCAGCAGTCCTATGTTGATCTGTTGTAGAATATTAAATGAGTTTATGGAATATGTGATAGTATGTTTAAAGTATCCATTTTGTTTCTGCGTGTTTGCTGTCTTTCTATCTGGAGCATTGTGTGACATTAGTTAAACTGTTGACGTTATTTACAATATGTTGTTTCCATTGTGGTTGAATTTCTACTGAACAATGTTTTTAGCTCTCTAGTCTATGAAAATTTTAGCTCCGAGTTTTAAACACGCGAGCGTATTCTTCAATAGGTTTTCAACTTCGCATCGTCTGTTAATTTCAAAGGACTTTTTATATTTTGTTGAGCGATAACCGCTTAGCTTTCTAGTCTTTACAGATTTTTTGCAAAAATTTAAGAGTGAGCTGGTAAGCGCAGGACGAATTTATTCAGTTGTAGGATATAGTTTTGGGATGCGATCGGAAACATAAGTGATGGTGATTGATTTTATGTGCATCGTTTTATAAAATAGGAACCATTGTGATCAAGTGATTTTAGTTCAGATTCATATTTTACTGTAACCAAAAACGAGGTCAGACTGTTTTCTTTGCTTTGCTGTGCAAATCAAGAAATGGCCACGGGCTTTTCTTGCTGTTTGTTTTTGATCTGCCAAAAGTAGAATTTCTCATAGATTAGATTTACAAGACTACTTGTAATGGCTTTTGTGATAAATCTTACAGTAAAATTTGTATGCCTGTTTTGTACTATACGGGAATGTACACTTTCATGTTTTAAATGAACCTACATTGTCACTTAAGAGGCACTAAATCAACATTTTATATTAGGTTTAATGTAAATATAATTATGAATATGAATGTAGCGTTAAATCATTTGCATTTATAATTTTTATTTAGAGTTATTTATATTTTATGCGTGTAGTAATACAATTGAAGAATAGCTAGTTTTATTTTTTCCCCTGTACATCGACTTTCGACGAAATTCAGTTTTTTCAGGTACTGGCAAGTGGGTGTTGAGGTGGTATCACTCAGAATTGCCACACAACAGTTGAGCATAAATAACTCTTCAAAAACAATCCAATAATAAATGGAATTTCAATCGCCAATTTTTAAATTCTCATTCACACCCTGTATTTTTATTACTGTATCTTATCTGTTTTTGTTCGTGTACTTCTAATGTGTCTTAAAGAAGTAACTTTAAATTTCGAAAATTGAAAAATTCAAATATAGAAGAACTGGAAACTCGAGAAATCGAAAAACCTAACATTTTTAAAAATTGAAAACTTAAAATATCGAAAAGTTGAAAGATTGTCAAAACCGAAAGTTCAAAAAGTAACAAGTCGAGAAATCGAAAAATCCAAAAGTCGAAATACTAAAAAATCCAAAAATTGGAAAATTAAAAAATCGAAAAATTGAGGAACTGAAAAACCGAAACCTTGGCAAGTCGAAAATGGGCAATTCAAAAAATAGATTAATTGATAAACCGGAAAACTGAAAATTCAGAAACGTCAAAACTTAAAAATTTAAAAAATTGGAAAATTTAAAAATCAGATAATCGAAACATCCGAATCTCGATAAATCGAGTTCTCAAAAAATTGAAAAATCGAAAAATTCAGAAATCGAAATATATGTAAAACAGTCGAAAATTGAAAAATCTAAAGTTTAAAAAACGAAAAATCGAAGAATTGAACTGAAAATTTAGCAACGTCAAAATTTAAAAAATTGGAAAATAGAAATATTGAAGAACTGGAAAATCGAAAAATCTAAAATTTAAAACATTGAACAAATGGAAAATGGAGAAATCAAAAAAGAAAAATTTGAAAATCCAAAACTGAAAAATCGACAAATCGAAACTCCAGAATTTAAAAAAATTGAAAAATCGGATAACTGAAAAATCGAAACATCGAAAAATTGGAAAATCGAAAATCCGAGAAATCGAAACATCGAGAAATAAAAAAAAAAATTGAATAATTTTAAAAAAGAAGAATTAAAACATCGAAAAGTTGAAAAATCTAAAGTTTAACGAAAAATTGAAAATCCAAAAAGTAAAAAAGGGGTGGAAACCCAAAAACTGCAAACTGAAAAATTTTAAAATTGGAAAATCGACGAATTGGAATCGATTAGCCTGAAAATTTGAAAATCGAAAGAAAACAAAAATTAAGGAAATGAAAAAACAAAAAATTGTGATATAAAATCGAGAAAATGAAAAATTTAGGGGACGAAAAATTAAAAATAAAAAACTGAAAAAGTGTAAGTATAATAAAAACTTGAAAAAAGTAAAAAGTGAAAATCAAACTTGAAAATTAAAAAAAAAAAACTGAAAAATTGAATAAACGAAAATTGTGATATAAAATCGAAAAAGTGAAAATTAAAAAATCGGGAAAATGAAAAATAAAAATCGGAAACAAAAAATTGCAAAAGGGAAAAATTAAAAATTGGGAAACTGAAAAATCGAAAAATTGAAAAATCAAAAATAAAAAAAAGAAATGTATTATGAAATAGAAATATTGAAAATTAAAGACTGGAAATCCAAAAACTGCAAAGTAAAAATTGAAAAATTGTAAAATCGAAAAAAACACAGTAAATAAAGGAAATGGAAAAACGGACAAATAAAAATTAAAAATTCGCCACATTGAAAAATAAAAATCGGGAACATGAAAAATTGTGGAAACGAAAAATTGAGAAACTGAAAATTCGAAAAATTGACGAAACGAAAAATTGAAAAATCGAAAGAAACAACAAGAAATAAAGGAATTGGAAAAATGAAAATGACAAAAATTAAAAACTGAGAATGTGAAAAATCGAAAAATGAGAAACTGTAATATCGAAAAATTGCAAAATTAAAAAATTGCAACTCGAAAAATTGAAAAATTTAGAAGTCAAGAAACTGTAAAATTGAAAAATCAAAAATAAAAAAACGAAAAAGTATAAAATGAAAACTTGAAAAATGTCAAACGTGAAAATCAAACATGAAAATTTGAAACATCGAAGGATTAAAAATTGAAAAACTTGAAATTCGAAAAAGTGAAAAATAAAAAAAAGAAATATGTATTGTAAAATCAAAATATTGAAAATTAAAGAAATTGAAAAATTGGAAGACGACTGGAAATCCAAAAACTGCAAATTCAAAAATTTTAAACGTGGAAAATCATGGAATTGAAAAATCAAAGCCTGAAAATTTGAAAAATTGGAAAATCGAAAAAAACAACAAAAATTAAGGAAATGAAAAAACAAAAAATGGTGATATAAAATCGAGAAAATGAAAAATAAAAAATCAGGAAAATGCAAAATAAAAATCGGGGAGTTGAAAAATTTATGGGACGAAAAATTGAAAAAAGGAAAAATTGGAAAATTTGGAAGTCGACGAACTACTTGAAAAATCAAAAATAAAAAAACGAAAAAGTGTAAGTGTAATAAAAACTTGAAAAATGTAAAAAGTGAAAATCAAATTTGAAAATTTGAAGAAAAATTGAATAAGCGAAAAATTGTAAAATCGAAAGAAACAAAAAATAAAGGAAATGAAAAAACGAAAAATTGTGATATAAAATCGAGAAAATGAAAAATTTAGGGGACGAAAAATTAAAAATAAAAAAACGAAAAAGTGTAAGTATAATAAAAACTTGAAAAAAGTAAAAAGTGAAAATCAAACTTGAAAATTTGAAAAAAAAAAAAACTGAAAAATTGAATAAACGAAAATTGTGATATAAAATCGAAAAAGTGAAAATTAAAAAATCGGGAAAATGAAAAATGAAAATCGGAAACAAAAAATTGCAAAAGGGAAAAATTAAAAATTGGGAAACTGAAAAATCGAAAAATTGAAAAATCAAAAATAAAAAAAAGAAATGTATTATGAAATAGAAATATTGAAAATTAAAGACTGGAAATCCAAAAACTGCAAAGTAAAAATTGAAAAATTGTAAAATCGAAAAAAATACAGTAAATAAAGGAAATGGAAAAACGGACAATTGTGATATAAATCGAGAAAATAAAAATTAAAAATTCGCCACATTGAAAAATAAAAATCGGGAACATGAAAAATTGTGGAAACGAAAAATTGAGAAACTGAAAATTCGAAAAATTGACGAAACGAAAAATTGAAAAATCGAAAGAAACAACAAGAAATAAAGGAATTGAAAAAATGAAAATTTGTGACATAAAACCGGGAAAATGAAAAATAAAAATCGAGAGCTTGAAAAATTGAAAATGACAAAAATTAAAAACTGAGAATGTGAAAAATCGAAAAATGAGAAACTGTAATATCGAAAAATTGCAAAATTAAAAAATTGCAACTCGAAAAATTGAAAAATTTAGAAGTCAAGAAACTGTAAAATTGAAAAATCAAAAATAAAAAAACGAAAAAGTATAAAATGAAAACTTGAAAAATGTCAAACGTGAAAATCAAACATGAAAATTTGAAACATCGAAAGATTAAAAATTGAAAAACTTGAAATTCGAAAAAGTGAAAAATAAAAAAAAAGAAATATGTATTGTAAAATCAAAATATTGAAAAATTGGAAGACGACTGGAAATCCAAAAACTGCAAATTGAAAAATTTTAAACGTGGAAAATCATGGAATTGAAAAATCAAAGCCTGAAAATTTGAAAAATTGGAAAATCGAAAAAACAACAAAAATTAAGGAAATGAAAAAACAAAAAATTGTGATATAAAATCAAGAAAATGAAAAATAAAAAATCAGGAAAATGCAAAATAAAAATCGGGGAGTTGAAAAATTTAGGGGACGAAAAATTGAAAAAAGGAAAAATTGGAAAATTTGGAAGTCGACGAACTACTTGAAAAATCAAAAATAAAAAAACGAAAAAGTGTAAGTGTAATAAAAACTTGAAAAATGTAAAAAGTGAAAATCAAACTTGAAAATTTGAAGAAAAATTGAATAAGCGAAAAATTGTAAAATCGAAAGAAACAAAAAATAAAGGAAATGAAAAAACGAAAAATTGTGATATAAAATCGAAAAGGTGAAAATTAAATCGGGAAAATGAAAAATAAAAAACTCTAATATTGAAAAATTGCCAAATTGAAAAACTTATGCAAACCGAAAAATTGAAAATTTTGGAAGTCGAGAAATTCTAAAATTGAAAAATAAAAAAAAAAGAAATGTATTATGAAATAGAAATATTGGATAATCGGAAGACTGGAAATCCAAAAACTGCAAAGTAAAAATTTAAAAATTGAAAACTGGACGAACTGAAAATTCAAAGCCTGAAATTCGAAAAAAAAAAAACACAGAAAATAAAGGAAATGAAAAAACGGACAACTGTGATATAAATCGAGAAAATAAAAATTAAAAATTCGCCACATTGAAAAATAAAAATCGGGAACATGAAAAATTGTGGAAACGAAAAATTGAGAAACTGAAAATTCGAAAAATTGAAAAATCGAAAGAAACAACAAGAAATAAAGGAATTGAAAAAATGAAAATTTGTGACATAAAATCGAGAAAATAAAATTTTAAAAATCGGGAAAATGAAAAATAAAAATCGAGAGCTTGAAAAATTGGGAAAACAAAAAATTGAAAATGACAAAAATTAAAAACTGAGAAAATAAAAAAACGAAAAAGTATATAATGAAAACTTGAAAATGTCAAAAGATTAAAAATCGAAAAACTTGAAATTCGAAGTGAAAAATAAAAAAAAGAAATATGTATTTTAAATCAAAATATTGAAAATTAAAGAAATTGAAAAATTGGAAGACTGGAAATCCGAAAACTGCAAATTGAAAAATTTTAAACGTGGAAAATCATGGAATTGAAAAATTGGAAAATCGAAAAAAACAACAAAAATTAAGGAAATGAAAAAACAAAACATTGTGTTATAAAATCGAGAAAATGAAAAATAAAAAATCAGGAAAATGCAAAATAAAAATCGGGGAGTTGAAAAATTTAGGGGACGAAAAATTGGAAAATTTGGAAGTCGACGAACTACTTGAAAAATCAAAAATAAAAAATCGAAAAAGTGTAAGTGTAATAAAAACTTGAAAAACGTAAAAAGTGAAAATCAAACTTGAAAATTTGAAGAAAAATTGAATAAGCGAAAAATTGTAAAATCGAAAGAAACAAAAAATAAAGGAAATGAAAAAACGAAAAATTGTGATATAAAATCGAAAAGGTGAAAATTAAATCGGGAAAATGAAAAATAAAAAACTCTAATATTGAAAAATTGCCAAATTGAAAAACTTATGCAAACCGAAAAATTGAAAATTTTAGAAGTCGAGAAATTCTAAAATTGAAAAATAAAAAAAAAGAAATGTATTATGAAATAGAAATATTGGACAATCGGAAGACTGGAAATCCAAAAACTGCAAAGTAAAAATTTAAAAATTTAAAAATGGACGAACTGAAAATTCAAAGCCTGAAATTCGAAAAAAAAAAACACAGAAAATAAAGGAAATGAAAAAACGGACAACTGTGATAAAAATCCAGAAAATAAAAATTAAAAATTCGCCACATTGAAAAATAAAAATCGGGAACATGAAAAATTGTGGAAACGAAAAATTGAGGAACTGAAAATTCGAAAAATTGAAAAATCGAAAGAAACAACAAGAAATAAAGGAATTGAAAAAATGAAAATTTGTGACATAAAATCGAGAAAATAAAATTTAAAAAATCGGGAAAATGAAAAATAAAAATCGAGAGCTTGAAAAATTGGGAAAACAAAAAATTGAAAATGACAAAAATTAAAAACTGAGAAAATAAAAAAACGAAAAAGTATATAATGAAAACTTGAAAATGTCAAAAGATTAAAAATCGAAAAACTTGAAATTCGAAGTGAAAAATAAAAAAAGAAATATGTATTTTAAATCAAAATATTGAAAATTAAAGAAATTGAAAAATTGGAAGACTGGAAATCCGAAAACTACAAACTGAAAAATTTTAAACGTGGAAAATCATGGAATTGAAAAATTGGAAAATCGAAAAAAACAACAAAAATTAAGGAAATGAAAAAACAAAACATTGTGTTATAAAATCGAGAAAATGAAAAATAAAAAATCAGGAAAATGCAAAATAAAAATCGGGGAGTTGAAAAATTTAGGGGACGAAAAATTGAAAAAAGGAAAAATTGGAAAATTTGGAAGTCGACGAACTACTTGAAAAATCAAAAATAAAAAAACGAGAAAGTGTAAGTGTAATAAAAACTTGAAAAATGTAAAAAGTGAAAATCAAACTTGAACATTTGAAGAAAAATTGAATAAGCGAAAAATTGTGATATAAAATCGAAAAGGTGAAAATTAAATCGGGAAAATAAAAATTGGAAAAGGGAAAAATTTTAAATTGAGAAACTGAAAAATCGAAAAATGAAAAACTCTAATATTGAAAAATTGCCAAATTGAAAAACTTATGCAAACCGAAAAATTGAAAATTTTGGAAGTCGAGAAATTCTAAAATTGAAAAATCAAAAATAAAAAAGTTGAAAAATCTTAAGAGTCGAAAAAGTGAAAAATAAAAAAAAAGAAATGTATTATGAAATAGAAATATTGGACAATCGGAAGACTGGAAATCCAAAAACTGCAAAGTAAAAATTTAAAAATTGAAAAATGGACGAACTGAAAATTCAAAGCCTGAAATTCGAAAAAAAAAACACAGAAAATAAAGGAAATGAAAAAACGGACAACTGTGATATAAATCGAGAAAATAAAAATTAAAAATTCGCCACATTGAAAAATAAAAATCGGGAACATGAAAAATTGTGGAAACGAAAAATTGAGAAACTGAAAATTCGAAAAATTGAAAAATCGAAAGAAACAACAAGAAATAAAGGAATTGAAAAAATGAAAATTTGACATAAAATCGAGAAAATAAAATTTAAAAAATCGGGAAAATGAAAAATAAAAATCGAGAGCTTGAAAAATTGGAAAAACAAAAAATTGAAAATGACAAAAATTAAAAACTGAGAAAATAAAAAAACGAAAAAGTATATAATGAAAACTTGAAAATGTCAAAAGATTAAAAATCGAAAAACTTGAAATTCGAAGTGAAAAATAAAAAAAAGAAATATGTATTTTAAATCAAAATATTGAAAATTAAAGAAATTGAAAAATTGGAAGACTGGAAATCCGAAAACTGCAAACTGAAAAATTTTAAACGTGGAAAATCATGGAATTGAAAAATCAAAGCCTGAAAATTTGAAAAATTGGAAAATCGAAAAAAAACAACAAAAATTAAGGAAATGAAAAAACAAAACATTGTGTTATAAAATCGAGAAAATGAAAAATAAAAAATCAGGAAAATGCAAAATAAAAATCGGGGAGTTGAAAAATTTAGGGGACGAAAAATTGGAAAATTTGGAAGTCGACGAACTACTTGAAAAATGTATAAAGTGAAAATCAAACTTGAAAATTTGAAGAAAAATGAATAAGCGAAAAATTGTAAAATCGAAAGAAACAAAAAATAAAGGAAATGAAAAAACGAAAAATTGTGATATAAAATCGAAAAGGTGAAAATTAAATCGGAAAAATGAAAAATAAAAATTGGAAAAGGGAAAAATTTTAAATTGAGAAACTGAAAAATCGAAAAATGAAAAACTAATATTGAAAAATTGCCAAATTGAAAAACTTACGCAAACCGAAAAATTGAAAATTTTGGAAGTCGAGAAATTCTAAAATTGAAAAATCAAAAAAAAAGAAATGTATTATGAAATAGACAATCGGAAGACTGGAAATCCAAAAACTGCAAAGTAAAAATTTAAAAATTGAAAAATGGACGAACTGAAAATTCAAAGCCTGAAATTCGAAAAAAAAAACCACAGAAAATAAAGGAAATGAAAAAACGGACAACTGTGATATAAATCGAGAAAATAAAAATTAAAAATTCGCCACATTGAAAAATAAAAATCGGGAACATGAAAAATTGTGGAAACGAAAAATTGAGAAACTGAAAATTCGAAAAATTGACGAAACGAAAAATTGAAAAATCGAAAGAAACAACAAGAAATAAAGGAATTGAAAAAATGAAAATGACAAAAATTAAAAACTGAGAATGTGAAAAATCGAAAAATGAGAAACTGTAATATCGAAAAATTGCAACTCGAAAAATTGAAAAATTTAGAAGTCAAGAAACTGTAAAATTGAAAAATCAAAAATAAAAAAACGAAAAAGTATAAAATCAAACATGAAAATTTGAAACATCGAAAGATTAAAAATTCAAAAACTTGAAATTCGAAAAAGTGCAAAATAAAAAAAAAGAAATATGTATTGTAAAATCAAAATATTGAAAATTAAAGAAATTGAAAAATTTTAAACGTGGAAAATCATGGAATTGAAAAATCAATGCCTGAAAATTTGAAAAATTGGAAAATCGAAAAAACAACAAAAATTAAGGAAATGAAAAAACAAAAAATTGTGATATAAAATCGAGAAAATGAAAAATAAAAAATCAGGAAAATGCAAAATAAAAATCGGGGAGTTGAAAAATTTAAGGGACGAAAAATTGAAAAAAGGAAAAATTGGAAAATTTGGAAGTCGACGAACTACTTGATAAATCAAAAATAAAAAAACGAAAAAGTGTTAGTGTAATAAAAACTTGAAAAATGTAAAAAGTGAAAATCAAACTTGAAAATTTGAAGAAAAATTGAATAAGCGAAAAATTGTAAAATCGAAAGAAACAAAAAATAAAGGAAATGAAAAAACGAAAAATTGTGATATAAAATCGAAAAGGTGAAAATTAAATCGGAAAAATGAAAAATAAAAATTGGAAAAGGGAAAAATTTTAAATTGAGAAACTGAAAAATCGAAAAATGAAAAACTCTAATATTGAAAAATTGCCAAATTGAAAAACTTACGCAAACCGAAAAATTGAAAATTTTGGAAGTCGAGAAATTCTAAAATTGAAAAATCAAAAAAAAAAGAAATGTATTATGAAATAGAAATATTGGATAATCGGAAGGCTGGAAATCCAAAGCCTGAAATTCGAAAAAAAAAACAGAAAATAAAGGAAATGAAAAAACGGACAACTGTGATATAAATCGAGAAAATAAAAATTAAAAATTCGCCACATTGAAAAATAAAAATCGGGAACATGAAAAATTGTGGAAACGAAAAATTGAGAAACTGAAAATTCGAAAAATTGAAAAATCGAAAGAAACAACAAGAAATAAAGGAATTGAAAAAATGAAAATTTGTGACATAAAATCGAGAAAATAAAATTAAAAAAATCGGGAAAATGAAAAATAAAAATCGAGAGCTTGAAAAATTGAAAATGACAACAATTAAAAACTGAGAAAATAAAAAAACAAAAGAGTATGTAATGAAAACTTGAAAATGTCAAAAGATTAAAAATCGAAAAACTTAAAATTCGAAAAAGTGAAAAATAAAAATTTTAAACGTGGAAAATCATGGAATTGATAGAATATCAAAAATAAAACACCGATAGCTTTCGAATAATTTTGAACGTGTTATGCTAATTTTTTTTAATTCCACCAATATTTTCTATTTTGTCAAAATGACGAAAGAATCGAAACTTGGAGAGTTATACAAAACGAGTAAAATTCTCCTTTTTTGTTATATGAATTGTGTAACAGGTTCGTTGTAGACACCCCTTTTTTAAATTGTTTTCGCACTACAAAGTGTACGTTGTAGCAATATAAATGTCGTCATTTTTGCATATTTTTACTTTTTTTTTTTACACAGAAAACAGAACTGAAAATCAAATTTTAATACACGAGGGACAAAATATTTCTAATAAGGATTGTTAAGAAAAAAAACTAATTTTTTACAAAATCATATATTAAAGTCGGCACAAATATAAATAACTTAACTGGAATTTTTCAACATAACGTTAACGTACAAATACTGCACAACGTCCTTACTCAGCGGCAAGTCGTTGAAGTATTGTCCAAAATTCAAACAGATATTAAACAGACTGTGTTTCACGGCGGCGGTGACAGCGTTTTTCATCTTGTAGTTGAAGTCCTGCAGTCCGGCGACTTTCCTGGACAGCGCCGGCACTTTATTTAGTTTATCCAAGTGTTGTTTCAACTGCACCAGAGACGTAATAATGATCGGCATATCCTTCTGCACAATTCCGTACTTGTCTTCACTTAGCGACGCCACCGTTAACTCGGAAATGCCTTGACTTGCCCACACGATGAGCTGTCCGTTGCCCAGACACTTCTGGATGTTGGCTTGCGGCAGCTCACCAAAGAGAAAGTTAATCCCGAAGAAAATTTTCATAAACGATACTAATTTGTTGATTGTGTTGTCGAGATTCTTTTTCATAGTTTCGACAGCGCTGACTGAGCCTTCGTGTGACACGTTCACGACGTCCAAGTAGTCGTTGTAAGCGGACATGTTACGCAAATTCCGGTATTTAATATTTTGAGCAAGCGGCGACTGGAGTGTGATGGGTGAAAACGGTGTAATAGTTTCTGGTTGTTTTTTAATTTTGTCTGACGGTAGTGTCGTTTCTACCGACTTTCTTAAGACATCTGTATATTCGGTGAAGAGTTTCACGACACTTTCTATTAACGTGTTCCAGTTATGGGGGTGACCTCCGGGTTGTGACAACGTGAAAAATAACTGACGACGCATTAAAGACCACTGAGACAACAAGTACAAGTCTAGACAAGCCAGATTTTGTACAATGGGCAGATTATTCATGACTAAAGCCTCTTGTAACGTCAACGTGTTTATGTTGTCTTTAACTATTGGAAATTGTATGGCTTCTGTTAGGAACATGGAGAAGAAGAACCTCATCAGGTTCATACTAAAGAAATATAAGGTGGAAAACCACCACAAGTACACATAGGCAAGAATGCTACTTTCGTGGGGTGCTCTATCCAAGTTAAAAACAACCATGAAATAATTCTCCATGCTCTGACCCCATATATAGTAAAACATAGCAAAATACAACGTAGGCCATGCTGACATTACCATACTCTCTGTAAACAACCCAGACACGTTGGAACGCACCCGCAAAAACTTTCTTTGTTGTACAACTGGAAAAACCAGCTGCTTTGTCGATATGTACACCTTCAGGAAGAAATAAAGCCCAGTCCAGAAGCTTCCAACAATCAGAAAAAAAGTGTCTTCAACTAGACAACTTTTATCAATTTTGCATTTCACAGTCAAGCTTTTGCTGCTGCTGTCAATGACCACGAGAATCTGCCAAGTGAAAGCCCCCCCTATTATGACATGGAGACACAACAGTATGAAATTATGCAACGAAAATATGTGCAGCAGTTGTTGAAATCTCGTCGAGCTGTACGACGTCATAAAAACGTAATCTTTGGCGCAAATTAAACATTGGGCGAAAATTATGAACGAGAAAATTATAACAAAGAGCCATGTGCTTACGTACGTGAAAGTGTTGAGGATTGAGGTTAGCCATTCTAGGGGGTGCAAGAAATTAACGTTGGCGACTAGTACGTAAATTAAAAGAATGGCTATTTGTGAGAAAACGCTACAAGCGACTGCACGCACTAGTTTTCGTACTAAAATGTCTTTATAACTGAAAGTTTGCGGCGTGAAGAGGTTAGGATTTGTAGGAGGTTGCTGCATGATCAACTACACCTGCAATTGAGTTTTTATTACACTTTAGAATAAAAAAAATAAATTATTACCTTTGCGTATATCACATTCACAAAATACAAAACTTACAAAAGACAAAAACATTAATAAACCGATGAAAATTCAAACTGACAGTTGAACGAATTCTAGTAACTTTTGCAGTCGTACCAACACTAATAATCACAACGGAAATTACACGAGTTTTTAAAAAAGTCCTGCAAAAAAACGTTTAATTAAAGAATAAATTAAAAAAAAACGGTTTTACGCACCATCGCTGTTGTTTTATTCTGGTTAAAAATAATTTTGGCCAGTTTTTTCTTTTCCACTGTGCCTAAACTTTGCTGCCAATTGGGGCTGTGTTGAAAATAAATATCCTTCAGTTGTCTTCTTTGAGCGTCAATTGCTACAAATAAATCTTTTACGGGGTTCACTTTCCAAAAGAAACTTACTTTCAAACATTTTTTCATCTTCAGCCAACAATTTGTCGTCTTTTAGCGCTTCAGTCAGCGACTTTTTGCAATTTTCAGGGTACACGCAAATGATGTCCCCGTATAAATTAAATCTGTCTTCGCTTTGAACGTCAAATAATATTTTTTCGGCACCTCCTATGTAATCTAAAGCAACCTGTCGCACCCCTTCGATATCAGCAACAGTTTTTTTTAGTTTTAGTTCGTAGCCGTTATCACCAAGTAACAAATCTGTTGCTAAATTGACCACATTTATTAAACTAGCTTGTTTGGCTAGGGGTGGGCACTCTTTCAGAGCTTCTGGAATTTGAAAAACGGAGCAGACGCTTCTCATAACGCCATAATCCGGAAGCCAACAAAGAAATTTCCTATCGGTTTGTGTAGTAACTACGTCTTCGACTAGTGCCCGGATCCACACATCGTCAATGTGTACAGCCACCATCTATGAGAAAAATGCAAGTTTTTGTGAAGTGTAAAATCATAAAACGTACCTGGTTTTCGTATAATTCACTTGGGTCTTTTACAATTTTACAGTGTCTGGTGGACATAGTTCTGTGCATTGCCGACCTCAAGAGGATGTCCCCTTTCTCGATTATCCAGAAGAGATGTGCGTTTATAAAAGAGGGTATTATAACCTCCATTTAAGCAACTATAAAAATACAATCACGACAAGTTTTAAACGGTGCGGAAGTATTTGGCTGTATGTAAAAAGGACCGTTTAAACTGCCCGACTGTCTGAAACACAACAAATGTTTCCAAATTGAAGTTTCATTTATAGGTTATGTGAGGTTATGTTATCAAAATTAATGAGCATACAACGTGTGCCGACCAATCACAACAAAACACATTCAAACTGGCGCCAATTCAAATATTATTCATCGATTTGTTTTTATATTTATTTTTTTTTAGTTTTTAAATTTTTCAATTTCGTGTTTTTTTATTTTTCAGAGAACAAATTTACCCAAACTAAAATAACGGAAAATCGGAAAATTGTATCATTGAAACAATGAAGAATACAAAAATTTTAAAATGAAAATCGAGAAACTAAAAAATTGAGACACCGAAAAAATGTAAAAACATAGAAAAATCAAAAATAAAACTGCAAAATCGGTAATTGAAAAATTGTAAAAACGAAAAAATAAAAAATCCCGAAATTGAAACATCAAAAAATCGAAAAACGAAACAATTTTGCAATTTTTCAATTTTAAAGTTTTCAAGTTCTTGATTTCCAATTTTAACCAAAATAAAATTTTGCAAAATCGAATAACTATAACACCGAAACATTAAAAAATGTAATAATTAAAAATTGATAAATTGAAAAATCGGCATAACGCAACAATTCTGCAATTTTTCGATATAAAATTTTTCAAATTCTCGATTTTTCATTTTTTAATTGTTCACCAAAAGGACAAATTTATTCAAACCAAAATTTTGAAAAATTTAAAAATCAGAAAATTGTAACACTGAAACGTCTAAAAATTATAAAATAGAAAAATCAAAAAATTTAAAAATTGAGAAGTTGAAGAATTGCAAAAATAAAGAAAAATTGAGAAAACCGAAAAAATGAGAATCAAAAATAGAAAAATGAATTGTAATATAGAAACCTGAAAACCCTGATTAATTAGAAATCGAGAAACGGAAAAAACGAAAAACAAAAATTTCTATAAATTAAATAATCAAAAATACAAAAATTGTTAATTTCAAAATCCAAAGATTTTAAATGAAACTTGAAATATCGAAAAATGAAAAAATTGAGAAATTGAATTGGATAATTGAAAAATCGAATCCGCAAAACCTTGATTAATTAAAAATCGACAAATTGAAAAATTGACACAACGAGGCAATTCTGCATTTTTTCGATATGAAATTTTTCGAATTTTCGATTTTTAATTTTTCATTTTTTAATTGTTCAACAAACGACAAATTTATTCAAACTGAACTTTTGAAAAACTGGAAAATTGTAACACTGAAACATGAAAAAACAAAACAATTAAAAATCGAGAAATTGAAAAATCGAACAATTCTGCAATTTTTCGATATAAAATTTTTCAAATTCTCGATTTTTGTTTCTTTATTTTCTCGATTTGTCATTTTTTAATTGTTCAAGAAAAGGACAAATTTATTCAAACCGAAATTTTGAACTGAATTGAAAAATGAAAAAAATTGAGAAATCAAAGAATTGAAAAAATAGAGAAAACTTGAAAAAACCGACAAAATAAGACTTGCAAACTAAAAATTGAGAAATTGAACAATATGGGATAATTGAAAAAGCAATTGAAAAATCGAAAAATGGTAATATTGAAACCTGAAAACCCTGACTAATTAAAATTCGAGAAAGTGAAAAATTGAAAAAAGGAAAACAAAAACTTCTATAAATTAAACAATCAAAAATACAAAAAAAAAAAAAAATTTCCTGAAAAATTTTCAGTTATAATATATTAAGTGCATCGCAATGTTATCGATAATTTTGAGCAACAATAACTCGAATGCTTGTTGCATTGAAAACGCACGAGTGCTTTAGCACGAGTGCATTTTTCTTAGGCAACAAGCATGAGAGATTATTGTTGTTCAAAATTATCGATTTCATTGTGATGCACGCAATATATTCAACAGATTATTGCAAGAACAAACATTTTAAAAATAATTTTATAATGATTTACGAAGTAGTTTGGTGTGCGATACTATGGCGACGCAAGTAAATAAGAACAGCCATTTTGCAAAATTTGTGTGGGTTTAAAAAACCATGTCCAATTTTCGTTTTGGTCGTAACACGCCAAAAGAAATTGATGATTCTATTACAAACATTACGCCGCTAAATACGAAGAACTCACGAAATTCAATCTGGAGGCAATTTGAGAAGTTTTGCGGTGAACGCAAATATGTTTTTGATGGAAACACTTCCACGGAAAAACTAGCATTCATCCTCAAAGATTGGGGGTACAATATGAAAAAAGTCGATGGTAATGACTACAAAGAAGCAGTAATAAAAACGATGTGGAATGTAACGGCAAAGCAGTTGCAAGAACTGTATTTCAATAAATTTGGTATAAAGTTTGATCCTTTTGTTGACCTGGAATTCAAGGGTAGTAGAAATGCACGCGACGCAAAACGCCGGAACCTACAAATACAACCGGAAAAACGCAAAACTAGTTCCTCAATTTTGACTCTAGAAGAATACAACAAGATTCTAAAGATTTATAACGAAGACACGCCAGATGGTTTACAGAAAATGTTTTTTTATGTGGCTGGATTAGAATTAGCTTGGAGGGGATGTGAAGGTGTTAACGTTACTATCAAACATTTTAAGGAAGAAAGTGATAATTGTGGTTTGCCTACGGGGCGAATAGAATACAATTGTATTTTTTCCAAAACAGCTCAAGGAGGTAGCCATAAATTAACAGACAGCAAATGGCTTGCAACAAACACCACAGATCCTAGAATTTGCCCTGTTAGGTAATTAAATACTGTTTCAAATACAAAATAATAATTATTTTATTATTTAAGGCTCTACAAAAAAATGCTGAGCAAGAGAGGTAAACATATAACCACCGATCGTTTATTTTTAACGCCAAATCCTGCATGGAGAGAACCTAGTTCTGTAGGATGGTTCAAAAATTCACCCGTTGGAAGGAATGAAATGGGGAAATGGACAAGAACCGCCGCAGAAGAAATAGGCATCGACATAAAGAAAAAGAAGATTAGTAATCATTCATTACGGTCAACTGCAGTGTCGCAACTTGCAAAAGCGGGAGTCGGTGAAGAACAGCTTATAAAGATTACCGGTCATGCCAATACTTTCTCCATCAAACCATACCTTCAGCTCGATGGAGATCATCATTATCAAATGATTGACAAATTACGCGCCAACTCAACGGCTATGGAAGAGTCTAATAACAAATCCACAAATTGCGCACCGTCTGCTTTGGTACAAATGTCTAAAAATATAGTTACTACTTCACCAAGCACACAAACCCCTGTAAATTACTACAACTGTACCATAATTAATTACAATTCTTAGTTTCATAATTAAATATTTGGTTAGTAACCTCTTGTTTTTTTTTGCAATTAACTGGTACTTGCTTATCTTATAGTTGGCACATCTGGCTAGTGATAATTATCGGTAGTGGTAATTGCACAGTGTGCAATTATCACGTAATTGTATGCTGATTGGTTGAATTTACAAATATTGACGCGTTTGATTGGTCAGTTGACATCATGTGACATGTGAGTGCAATAATCAGTTATAATATATTAAGTGCATCGCAATGTTATCGATAATTTTGAGCAACAATAACTCGAATGCTTGTTGCATTGAAAACGCACGAGTGCTTTAGCACGAGTGCATTTTTCTTAGGCAACAAGCATGAGAGATTATTGTTGTTCAAAATTATCGATTTCATTGTGATGCACGCAATATATTCAACAGATTATTGCAAGAACAAACATTTTAAAAATAATTTTATAATGATTTACGAAGTAGTTTGGTGTGCGATACTATGGCGACGCAAGTAAATAAGAACAGCCATTTTGCAAAATTTGTGTGGGTTTAAAAAACCATGTCCAATTTTCGTTTTGGTCGTAACACGCCAAAAGAAATTGATGATTCTATTACAAACATTACGCCGCTAAATACGAAGAACTCACGAAATTCAATCTGGAGGCAATTTGAGAAGTTTTGCGGTGAACGCAAATATGTTTTTGATGGAAACACTTCCACGGAAAAACTAGCATTCATCCTCAAAGATTGGGGGTACAATATGAAAAAAGTCGATGGTAATGACTACAAAGAAGCAGTAATAAAAACGATGTGGAATGTAACGGCAAAGCAGTTGCAAGAACTGTATTTCAATAAATTTGGTATAAAGTTTGATCCTTTTGTTGACCTGGAATTCAAGGGTAGTAGAAATGCACGCGACGCAAAACGCCGGAACCTACAAATACAACCGGAAAAACGCAAAACTAGTTCCTCAATTTTGACTCTAGAAGAATACAACAAGATTCTAAAGATTTATAACGAAGACACGCCAGATGGTTTACAGAAAATGTTTTTTTATGTGGCTGGATTAGAATTAGCTTGGAGGGGATGTGAAGGTGTTAACGTTACTATCAAACATTTTAAGGAAGAAAGTGATAATTGTGGTTTGCCTACGGGGCGAATAGAATACAATTGTATTTTTTCCAAAACAGCTCAAGGAGGTAGCCATAAATTAACAGACAGCAAATGGCTTGCAACAAACACCACAGATCCTAGAATTTGCCCTGTTAGGTAATTAAATACTGTTTCAAATACAAAATAATAATTATTTTATTATTTAAGGCTCTACAAAAAAATGCTGAGCAAGAGAGGTAAACATATAACCACCGATCGTTTATTTTTAACGCCAAATCCTGCATGGAGAGAACCTAGTTCTGTAGGATGGTTCAAAAATTCACCCGTTGGAAGGAATGAAATGGGGAAATGGACAAGAACCGCCGCAGAAGAAATAGGCATCGACATAAAGAAAAAGAAGATTAGTAATCATTCATTACGGTCAACTGCAGTGTCGCAACTTGCAAAAGCGGGAGTCGGTGAAGAACAGCTTATAAAGATTACCGGTCATGCCAATACTTTCTCCATCAAACCATACCTTCAGCTCGATGGAGATCATCATTATCAAATGATTGACAAATTACGCGCCAACTCAACGGCTATGGAAGAGTCTAATAACAAATCCACAAATTGCGCACCGTCTGCTTTGGTACAAATGTCTAAAAATATAGTTACTACTTCACCAAGCACACAAACCCCTGTAAATTACTACAACTGTACCATAATTAATTACAATTCTTAGTTTCATAATTAAATATTTGGTTAGTAACCTCTTGTTTTTTTTTGCAATTAACTGGTACTTGCTTATCTTATAGTTGGCACATCTGGCTAGTGATAATTATCGGTAGTGGTAATTGCACAGTGTGCAATTATCACGTAATTGTATGCTGATTGGTTGAATTTACAAATATTGACGCGTTTGATTGGTCAGTTGACATCATGTGACATGTGAGTGCAATAATCAGTTATAATATATTAAGTGCATCGCAATGTTATCGATAATTTTGAGCAACAATAACTCGAATGCTTGTTGCATTGAAAACGCACGAGTGCTTTAGCACGAGTGCATTTTTCTTAGGCAACAAGCATGAGAGATTATTGTTGTTCAAAATTATCGATTTCATTGTGATGCACGCAATATATTCAACAGATTATTGCAAGAACAAACATTTTAAAAATAATTTTATAATGATTTACGAAGTAGTTTGGTGTGCGATACTATGGCGACGCAAGTAAATAAGAACAGCCATTTTGCAAAATTTGTGTGGGTTTAAAAAACCATGTCCAATTTTCGTTTTGGTCGTAACACGCCAAAAGAAATTGATGATTCTATTACAAACATTACGCCGCTAAATACGAAGAACTCACGAAATTCAATCTGGAGGCAATTTGAGAAGTTTTGCGGTGAACGCAAATATGTTTTTGATGGAAACACTTCCACGGAAAAACTAGCATTCATCCTCAAAGATTGGGGGTACAATATGAAAAAAGTCGATGGTAATGACTACAAAGAAGCAGTAATAAAAACGATGTGGAATGTAACGGCAAAGCAGTTGCAAGAACTGTATTTCAATAAATTTGGTATAAAGTTTGATCCTTTTGTTGACCTGGAATTCAAGGGTAGTAGAAATGCACGCGACGCAAAACGCCGGAACCTACAAATACAACCGGAAAAACGCAAAACTAGTTCCTCAATTTTGACTCTAGAAGAATACAACAAGATTCTAAAGATTTATAACGAAGACACGCCAGATGGTTTACAGAAAATGTTTTTTTATGTGGCTGGATTAGAATTAGCTTGGAGGGGATGTGAAGGTGTTAACGTTACTATCAAACATTTTAAGGAAGAAAGTGATAATTGTGGTTTGCCTACGGGGCGAATAGAATACAATTGTATTTTTTCCAAAACAGCTCAAGGAGGTAGCCATAAATTAACAGACAGCAAATGGCTTGCAACAAACACCACAGATCCTAGAATTTGCCCTGTTAGGTAATTAAATACTGTTTCAAATACAAAATAATAATTATTTTATTATTTAAGGCTCTACAAAAAAATGCTGAGCAAGAGAGGTAAACATATAACCACCGATCGTTTATTTTTAACGCCAAATCCTGCATGGAGAGAACCTAGTTCTGTAGGATGGTTCAAAAATTCACCCGTTGGAAGGAATGAAATGGGGAAATGGACAAGAACCGCCGCAGAAGAAATAGGCATCGACATAAAGAAAAAGAAGATTAGTAATCATTCATTACGGTCAACTGCAGTGTCGCAACTTGCAAAAGCGGGAGTCGGTGAAGAACAGCTTATAAAGATTACCGGTCATGCCAATACTTTCTCCATCAAACCATACCTTCAGCTCGATGGAGATCATCATTATCAAATGATTGACAAATTACGCGCCAACTCAACGGCTATGGAAGAGTCTAATAACAAATCCACAAATTGCGCACCGTCTGCTTTGGTACAAATGTCTAAAAATATAGTTACTACTTCACCAAGCACACAAACCCCTGTAAATTACTACAACTGTACCATAATTAATTACAATTCTTAGTTTCATAATTAAATATTTGGTTAGTAACCTCTTGTTTTTTTTTGCAATTAACTGGTACTTGCTTATCTTATAGTTGGCACATCTGGCTAGTGATAATTATCGGTAGTGGTAATTGCACAGTGTGCAATTATCACGTAATTGTATGCTGATTGGTTGAATTTACAAATATTGACGCGTTTGATTGGTCAGTTGACATCATGTGACATGTGAGTGCAATAATCAATTAAAAAAACCAAAAATATAAAAATCTCGAATTGAGAAATCAAAAAATCGAAGAAAATAATTTGGAATTACCTTTTTCGTTTTTTAATTTTTCAACAAAAGGACAAGCTTATTAAAAGTGAAATTTTTAAAAATCAAAAAATTGGAAAATTGTAAAACTGAAAAATGAAAAATCAAAAAATTAAAAACTGAAAAATTGAGAAAGAAACAATGAAAAAGCGAACAATTTAAAAATTGAGAAATCGAAGAACTGCAAAAATAAAGAAACTCAAAATCGAATAATTAAGAGGTCAACAATTGGAAAAGGAAAAATTGTAACCTTAAAAATGAAAAAAGTGAAAAATTGAACAATTGCAAAATTGAAAATCAAAAATAGAAAAAACGAAACTTGAAACACCGAGAAATTTAAAAATTGTAATATTAAAACTTGAGAAACTGAAAATTTCGATAATTGAAAAAACAACTGAAAATTCGAAAAAAAAAAGAAATTGTAAAATCAAAAAACTGATTAATTAAAATCGAGAAATAGAAAAATATTGAAAACAAAAATTTCTAGAAATAGAAAAATCGACAAATTGTAAAATTAAAAAATCGAAAACTGAAAAATTGAAAAAAATCAAACATTGAACAATAAAAAAAATTGATATACCGAAATGTTGAAAAATAGCGAAAGTAAAAAATCGTATAACGAAAAATTTAACAATTGAAAAATCAAAAAATAAAAATATCTTAAAATAGAAAAATCGAAAAAACGAGAAAATGTCAAATCTAAAAATTGTAATATTGAAACCTGAAAACCCTGATTAATTAAAAATCGAAAAAGTGAAAAATGGAAAAAACGAAAAAACAAAAACTTCTATAAATTAAACAACCAAAAATACAAAAAAAAATCAAAATCCAAAAATTTTAAAATGAAATCCGGAAAACTAAAAAATTAAGAAATTGTAAAAAGAAACATGGAAAAATTGAAAAACCGAAAAATTTAAAAACCGAGAAATCAAAGATTTGAAAAAATACAGAAACTGAAAAATTGGGTCATTGAAAAGCCAAGAATTGTAAACTTGAAAAAAAAAAAATCCTAATGATAATTATTTGAAAAAGGTGAAAAATTAAAAATCGGGAAATTTAAAAATGAAACAATTACAAAATTGCAATTAAAAAAATAAAATCGAAAAAACAAAACCTGTAAAAAGATGGAAAATCGAAAATTAAAAATCAACTTGGAAAATCGCAAAATTAAAATATCTGCAAATTAAAAAATCGAGACATACAAAAATTTTACTGAAAAATAAAAATCATAATGAAAATCGAAAAACTGAAAAATCGAGAAATCGAAAAACGTAAAAACGAAACACGGAAAAATAGAAAAATTAACAATTAAAAAAAAACAAAAATTTGAAAATCTCGAATTGAGAAAATAAAAAATCGAAGAAACGAAACAACTTATAATTACATACATATTTTATTTTTAATTTTTCATTTTCTCAATTTTTCAACAAAAGGACACACTTATTAAAAGTGCAATTTTAAAAAATCAAAAAATCGGAAAATTTTAAAACTGAAAAATCAAAAAATTAAAAACTAAAAAATCGAAAAAGAAACAATGAAAAAGCGAACAATTTAAAAATTAAGAAATCGAAGAACTGCAAAAATGAAGAAACTCAAAATCGAATAATTAAGAGGTCAACAATTGGAAAAGGAAAAATTGTAACCTTAAAAATGAAAAAACTGAAAATTTAAAAACAAAAAAATAGAACAATTGCAAAATTGAAAATCAAAAATAGAAAAAACGAAACTTGAAACACCGAGAAATTTAAAAATTGTAATATTGAAACTTGAGAAACTGAAAACTTCGATAACTGAAAAAACAACTGAAAATTTGAAAAATATGAAATTGTAAAATCGAAAAACTGATTAATTAAAAATCGAGAAATAGAACATACGGAAAAAAAATTTCTGGAAATAGAAAAATCGACAAATTGTAAAATTCAAAAGTTGAAGAATGTCAAAATAAACATCCAAAAACTGTAAAATTAAAAAATCGAAAACTGAAAAATTGAATAATAAAAAAAATTGAAATAACGAAATGTTGAAAAAATAGCGAAAGTAAAAAATCGGATAACGAAAAAATCAACAATAATTGAAAAATAAAAAAATCTTAAAATGGAAAAATCGAAACTGTCAAATCTAAAAATTATACATTGAAACCTGAAAAAATTGACGAAATAAAAATCGAAAAACTGAGAAATCCTAAAATCGAAAAGCTAAGAATCTTAAAAATAGGCACCCAATAATAACAGAAACCACTTTACTTCAAAGTTTAATTATTTTGAAATTTATTGTAGGCACGGTCAGCTATCCAACAATTTGTACTTTTTTTTCAAAGTTAGTAAAAATATACAGACATTAAAGTGGAGTTAAATAACATGAATAAATAAGATAATAAATTAAACAGCTTAACCTAGCATACATATACATAAAATAATCTTATTTTGATATTGCTCTCAAATCTCATATGTTAAGTATAAACGAGTAAAATTCAGTTAAATGCAGCTCTCCTTAACAGTCCTTTACAGTTTGTCCGCTACGATCGTCACTGATAACTTTTTATCAGGCCACGAGAATGTTTTTGGTAACGAAAGGGCCTCAGGACTCGCCAGGACTTGAAAAGTGACTGCCATATCCTGTGCCAACTCATCTGTGATGAGAATTTGGAGCCACGACCCCTGCGCAACGTAAGGATGTTCTGGATCGACAAGAGTCCCTGTTACGGTGCTCGCCACTAGAGTTATAGCAGTCTCACCCAACACTGACTTGAACGTAAAGTGTCTTCCATGCTTGACGCGCCCCCTACAACATAATCATAGTCATAACGCTAACAAAATGAACATAATATACCTTATTGCTAACGGCAATAAACTTCCCGCTTCCAAATTAAACACCAAATGCACTCCATCAAGCTTCTTTATGTGTAACAACTCCGTGGATTCCAACACCCCAGAACTATTTCTAATTTCGTCCATTTTAAAGTTGGTGCTACTGCTGCGATTCTGCTCGAAGTTGGCGTTCTGAATGCTTTTTGGGAGTGTGGGATTCAGGCGAAGAGTGTCTTGAGGATGCGTATTGTCACAATCTGATTTTTCCTTCAGGTGCATGTCTGCGTGGCTCGGATCTTGCTCCATCCATGAACATCGAGCACTGACTCCACTTAAATTGGAGCCTTCGAGTTCAAAGCCCCTTTCTACTTCTTCGTGTGAGTTTAAGTCCAGTTCGAATATACTTTCGCCTCTGCGCATGTCCGTGATGAACCAGACGCCGCCAGCGCTACGAACGGAGAAAATCGAAATTAAGAAAATTATAAAAAGTAAATTTTAGGATCTTACGACGGCAGTCTGCTGATCATGTTAAGGACGCCAGCTCCGTTCCATTGCTGGGCTGCTTTTAGCTCCTCGACGCAAATTCCTACGATCTGGACGAAATCGACTGACCCAAATGGGGTCTGTGTGGACTGCAATTGGACATCTGTGGTCATGAGCATGTGTTGGACTCGAGATTCGCTGTTGTCTAAAGCGCAGTGCCAGGACACGTGGTCTCCAGCACACAGGGTGTTGCCTAATAATTTTTTTGTAAAAAAAAAACACTGATTAGTTATATCATTGTTTAAGTATATTATAGTTGGACAACCGAATACAAATTTTACTTCGCCTAAATAGTGGGCTTTGGGACAAGGAATCCAGGGGGCGTGGGACAAATTTTTTGTCAAATGCGTTTTCAATCGGATTTGGATTTCTCGGTTTTTCGATTTTTTAGTTATCCAATTTTTAAATTTTTTAAATTTTAGATTTTTCGATTTCTCGATTTTTTGAATTTTCAGTTCTTCAGTATTTCTATTTTTCAATTTTTCAAATTTTGATTTTGTAAAATTTTCAGTTTTCCGATTTCTCAATTAATCTATTTTTGATTTTCCCACTTCTCAAAGTTTCGATTTTTCAGTTCTTCAATTCTTCGATTTTTTGACTTCGCTTTATTGGTTTTTCGATTTCTCAATTTTTGGATTTTTTATTTTTGGATATTTTAATTTTTCTATTTTTAAATTTCTAGATTTATCAATTTCTCGAGTTTCCAGGTCTATTTTTTAATTTTTCAATTTTCCGAATTTTTAAATTTTCGATTTTTCAATTTTTTGAGATCTCGATTAATTGAGATCCGGATGTTTCGATGTTTTGATTGTTCAATCCCTCGATTTCTCAATTTTTCTATTTTTCGACTTCTCGACTCCTCGATTTTTGGTCTTTTGATATTTCGATGTTTCAATGATACGATTTCTCAGTTTGTGTCCTCTTCAATTTTACGGTTTTTAAATATTTCGATTTTTCAATTTTTTAAATTTTCGCGTTTCTAAATTTTCAGTTTTCTAAAGCATTTTTTTATTTTTCCATTTCTCGACTTCCTAAAGTTTCGATTTTTCGCTTCTTCAATTTTTAGATTTTTTAAGCTTACGATTTTTCGGCTTTGCTTTTTTAGTTTTTCGATTTCTCAATTTTCCAATTTTTTTTTTTTCAATTTTTTGGATATTTCTTTCAGTTATGAGATTTTTCATTATTTCGATTTTTGAATTGATGGATTTTTTTTGATTTTCGATTTTTTACTTTTTGGATTCTCAATTTATTGTTAAACTTTCATTTTTCAATTTTTCGACTGGTTTATACTTCGATTTCTCAATTTTTCAACTTTTCGATGTTTTAATATGTATTTCAGTTTTTAAAATTCTAGGTTTTTCGATATCTCGAGTTTTCAGTTCTTCTATATTTGACAATTTTTCAATTTTAAAATTTTTTAATTTTCGATTTTCTAGTTTTTCTTTTTTAAAATTTTTCAATTCAGATGTTTCGTTGTTTTGATTGTTCAATTTCTCGATTTATCAATTTTTCAATTGCTTCTTCGATTTTTGGATTTCTCGATGCTTCAATTTTGCGATATTTTAATTGTTCAATGTTTTAAATTTTAGATTTTTCCATTTTTCGATTTTTTGAATTTTCAGTTCTTCAGTATTTCTATTTTCCAAATTTTGACTTTTTAAATTTTCAGTTTTCCGACTTCACAATTAATCTATTTTTGATTTTCTCACTTCTCAAAGTTTCGATTTTTCAGTTCTTCATTTCTTCGATTTTTCGACTTCGCTTTATTGGTTTTTCGATTTCTCAATTTTTAAATATTTCTTTCAGTTTTGAGATTTTTCAATATTTCGATTCTTCGACTTCTAGATTTTTCGATTTTTTATTTTTGGATATTGTAATTTTTCAGTTTTTAAATTTCTAGATTTATCGATTTCTCGAGTTTCCAGGTCTATTTTTTAATTTTTCAATTTTCCGAATTTTTAAATTTTCGATCTTTCAATTTTTGGACTTCTCGATTTTTGGTCTTTTGATTTTTCGATTTCTGAATTTTTCGATGTTTCAATGATACGATTTCTCAATTTTTGTCCTCTTCAATTTTACGGTTTTTAAATATTTCGATTTTTCAATTTTTTAAATTTTCGCGTTTCTAAATTTTCAGTTTTCTAAAGTATTTTTTTTATTTTTCCATTTCTCGAGTTCCTAAAGTTTTGATTTTTCACTTCTTCAATTTTTCGATTTCTCAAGTTTCCAATTTTTTAATTTTTCAATTTTTTTCATATTTCTTTCAGTTATGAGATTTGTCAATATTTCGATTTTTGAATTTTGATGGATTTTTTTTGATTTTTCGATTTTTTATTTTTTGGATTCTCAATTTATTGTTAAACTTTACATTTTTCAATTTTTCGACTGTTTTATACTTCGATTTCTCAATTTTTCAACTTTTCGATGTTTTAGTATTGCAGTTTTCTTAGACTTCTAGATTTTTCGATTTTTTATTTTTGGATATTTTAATTTTTCAATTTTCCGAATTTTTAAATTTTCAATTTTTTATTTTTTCGACTCCTCGATTTTTGGTCTTTTGATTTTTCGATTTCTGAATTTTTCGATGTTTCAATGATACGATTTCTCAATTTTTGTCCTCTTCAATTTTACGGTTTTTAAATATTTCGATTTTTCAATTTTTTAAATTTTCGCGTTTCTAAATTTTCAGCTTTCTAAAGTATTTTTTTTATTTTTCCATTTCTCGACTTCCTAAAGTTTCGATTTTTCACTTCTTCAATTTTTCGATTTCTCAAGTTTCCAATTTTTTAATTTTTCAATTTTTTTGATATTTCTTTCAGTTAACGAGATTTTTCAATATTTCGATTTTTGAATTGATGGATTTTTTTGATTTCTCGATTTTTTACTTTTTGGATTTTCAATTTATTGTTAAACTTTACATTTTTCAATTTTTCGACTGGTTTATACTTCGATTTCTCAATTTTTCAACTTTTCGATGTTTTAATATTTCAGTTTTTAAAATTCTAGGGTTTTCGATATCTCGAGTTTTCAGTTCTTCTATATTATTTGACAATTTTTCAATTTTTCGAATTTTTTAATTTTCGATTTTCCAGTTTTTCTTTTTTAAAATTTTTCAATTATTCAATTTTTTGATTTCTCAATTTATCGAATTCAGATGTTTCGTTGTTTTGATTGTTCAATTTCTCGATTTATTAATTTTTCAATTGCTTCTTCGATTTTTGGATTTCTCGGTTTTTCGATTTTTTAGTTGTCCGATTTTTCAATTTTTTAAATTTTACATTTTTCCATTTCTCGATTTTTTGAATTTTTAGTTCTTCAGTATTTCGATTTATCAATTTTTCAAATTTTGATTTTGTTAAATTTTCAGTTTTCCGATTTCTCAATTAATCTATTTTTGATTTTCCCACTTCTCAAACTTTCGATTTTTCAGTTCTTCAAGTCTTAGATTTTTCGACTTCGCTTTATTGGTTTTTCGACTTCTCAATTTTTGGATATTTCTTTCAGTTTTGAGATTTTTCAATATCTCGATTCTTCGACTTCTAGATTTTTCGATTTTTTATTTTTGGATTTTCAGTTTTTTTTTAAACTTTAGATTTTTCAATTTTTCGATTGTTTTATATTTGAATTTCTCAATTTTTCGACTTTTCCATATTTTAATTTTTCAGTTTTTAAATTTCTAGATTTTTCGATTTCTCGAGTTTCCAGGTCTATATTTTAATTTTTCAATTTTACGAATTTTTAAATTTTCGATTTTTCAATTTTTTGAGATCTCGAATTATTGAGATTCGGATGTTTCGATGTTTTCTAGATTTTTTTTGGATTTTTTATTTTTGGATATTTTAATTTTTCAGTTTTTAAATTTCTAGATTTATCGATTTCTCGAGTTTCCAGGTCTATTTTTTAATTTTTCAATTTTCCGAATTTTTAAATTTTCGATTTTTCAATTTTTCGACTCCTCGATTTTTGGTCTTTTGATTTTTCGATTTCTGAATTTTTCGATGTTTCAATGATACGATTTCTCAATTTTTGTCCTCTTCAATTTTACGGTTTTTAAATATTTCGATTTTTCAATTTTTTAAATTTTCGCGTTTCTAAATTTTCAGTTTTCTAAAGTATTTTTTTTATTTTTCCATTTCTCGACTTCCTAAAGTTTCGATTTTTCACTTCTTCAATTTTTCGATTTCTCAATTTTCCAATTTTTTAATTTTTCAATTTTTTGGATATTTCTTTCAGTTATGAGATTTTTTAATATTTCGATTTTTGAATCGATGGATTTTTTACTTTTTTGGATTCTTAATTTATTGTTAAACTTTACATTTTTCAATTTTTCGACTGTTTTATACTTCGATTTTTCAATTTTTCAACTTTTCGATGTTTTAATATTTCAGTTTTTAAAATTCTAGGGTTTTCGATATCTCGAGTTTTCAGTTCTTCTATATTTGACAATTTTTCAATTTTTCGAATTTTTTAATTTTCGATTTTCCAGTTTTTCTTTTTTAAAATTTTTCGATTATTCATTTTACGATATTTTAATTGTTCAATGTTTTAAAATTTAGATTTTTCCATTTTTCGATTTTTTGAATTTTCAGTTCTTCAGTATTTCTATTTTTCAGCTTTTGACTTTGTTAAATTTTCAGTTTTCCGATTTCTCAATTAATCTATTTTTGATTTTCCCACTTCTCAAAGTTTGGATTTTTCGACTTCGCTTTATTGGTTTTTCGATTCAATTTTTGGATATTTCTTTCAGTTTTGAGATTTTTCAATATCTCGATTCTTCGACTTCTAGATTTTTCGATTTTTTATTTTTGGATTTTCAGTTTTTCTTTTTTTAAACTTTCGATTTTTCAATTTTTCGATTGTTTTATTTTTCAATTTCTCAATTTTTCAAATTTTCCATATTTCAATTTTTCAGTTTTTAAATTTCTAGATTTTTCGATTTCTCGAGTTTCCAGGCCTATATTTTAATTTTTCAATTTTCCGAATTTTTAAATTTTCGATTTTTCAATTTTTTGAGATCTCGATTTATTGAGATTCGGATGTTTCGATGTTTTGATTGTTCAATCTCTCGATTTCTCAATTTTTCCATTTTTAACTTTTCGATTTTTCGACTTTTCGACTCCTCGATTTTTGGTCTTTTGATTTTTCGATTCCTCGATGTCTCAGTTTTTGAAGTTTACGATGTTTCGATTTTTC